CTTGAGTGTTCTTTTTACTATTTTACAACAAAATAGTCCCTTGGAACCTCTTCTATACAGTTACCAAAACAAAACAAAAACAAACAAAAAATTCTGTAGAAATACAGAAATACATGAGATCCAGAGTCACCTTCTCCAGGTGGCCCTGGGAGACCTGGTTCTGTGTCCTGTTCCCCTAAGATTCCTGGGCCACCTCTACCAGAGATCCCTTTAGATTTTTCTCCCACCAATGTCACGTTTGCTAAGCTTTATTTACTAAACCAATACATTAAGTAAAAACTAATAATGTCCCCATTTTACATCATCAAAGGCGTATTTGACAACCACAGTTTTTTAGTATGAGGATCAGGATAGGATCAAACCCCTTTGCAGGCCAGCTGTGTAGCATAGGGTAAGGGCACCAGTTAAGGCGGCTGTGTCTGTTCCACACCTAGCTCCTGACTCCAGTGTCCTGCCACTGCAGACCCTGGGAAGGGCCAGTGTTGGCTCCAGGGTTTGGGTTCCTGCCACCCACGTGAAAGGCCTGGATTGACTACCTGGCTCACAACTTTGGCCCAGTCCAGTCTCAGCTGTTGTAGGCATCTGGGGAGTGAATGAGCAGATGGTAGCTCTGTCTCTCAGATAGATAGATGGATGAATGGATGGATGGATGGATGGATGGATAGATAGATAGATAGAAGGAACTTTTGTCTTTAAAAACAAACAAAAAGGACACTTGCTTGCAAAAAGCAAAGGCACGTAGCATTTTTTAGTCCTAACTTGGCAGCCATATCAAGGGTAAAAATGTGTTGCTGTTTTTCAGAATTAAGGACAATGAGTTGTAAACACTCACATCTCTGCCCAGATCCTGGGAAGACTACAGTTCCCCAGGCTCAGAACCCCTGGTTTATGAAATCTAAGCAGCCATGATCACTGGAACAAGACAGTTCCTACAGCATACCCTCCCTACTCTGGAGACCACGGCCCAAGACTACAAAACCCATCGATTTGTATGCAGCAGAAAGAATTCCAGGATCTCAGGACCACTAGGAAATGTTGCACAGAAACAAGTTTCCATTTTAACAACGTAAAGGGGGTGGGGATTTGGGGAGAATTGTGCTTTATAAAACTTTGGAGCTAGCCCAAAGCTGCTTCCTGCACTGCCAGCATCCCATGTGGGCACCAGTTAGAATCCCGGCTGCTCCACTTTCCACCCAGCTCTCTGCTATGGCCTGGGAAAGCAATAGAAGATGGCCCAAGTCCTTCGGCCCCTACACCCACATGGGAGACCAGAAAGAAGCTCCTGGCTTTGGATCGACGCAGCTCCAGCCTTTGGGGCTCTTTGGGGAGTGAACCAGCGGATGGAAGACACCTCTCTCTCTCTGCCTCTGCCTCTCTGTAACTCTGCCTTTCAAATAAATTAATTAAAAAAATTTGTTTACCCAAAAAAAAAAATTTCCCAGGGCCAGATTGTGGCATACCAGATTAAGCTGCTGCCAGTGACACTGACATTCCATGTGGGCACTGGTTCAAGAGCTGGCTGTTCTAGTTCCAATCCAGCTCCCTGCTCATGGCCTGGGAAAAGCAGCAGTGGATGGCCCAAGTGTTTGGGCCCCTGCAACCCATCTGAAGACCCAGATGAAGCTCCTAGCTCCAAACCCAGGCACTGCGACCATCTTGGGAGTAAACCAGCGGGAAGGAGATCTCTCTCTGTCTCTCCCTCTCGGTGTAACTCTTTCAAATAAATATATCTTTTTTAAAAAAATTCTCAGGAAGATATTTCACAAATCAAACACCCACTGACTCAAAGGGATGAATCATGTGATACTTTGGTCCCTTTCACGGCTCGTTTAGAAGTGGAATAAATGCTGCTGCCCAAATCAGAGGCAAAAATGCAAACCAGTTTTCCCCCCAACCCTAAATGCCCACATTTTCATTTCAGATGACTTCCTCTCAGAGTTCTTTAACCATCAGGGGTGTGGGACACGGTGCAGCGGGCTAAGCCGCCACTTGGGACGCCACATCCCCGCTGCTCTGCATCAGATCCAGCTTCCTGCAGACTCAGACCCTGGAGGCAGCAGTCATGGCTCAAGTGCCTGGGTGCCTGCTCTGCTACCCATGTGGGAGACCCAGATGGAGTTCTGGGGTCCTGGCTCTGGCCTGGCTCAACTCTGTTGTTCTGCCTTTCAAATAAGTAAATTTTTTTTTTTTTTTTGACAGGCAGAGTTAGACAGTGAGAGAGAGAGACAGAGAGAAAGGTCTTCCTTTCCTTCCATTGGTTCACCACTCAGATGACCGCTACAGCCGGTGCGCTGTGCTGATCCGAAGCCAGGAGCCAGGTGTCTCCTCCTGGTCTCCGATGCGGGCACAGGGCCCAAGCACTTGGGCCATCCTCCACTGCCTTCTCGGGCCACAGCAGAGAGCTGGACTGGAAGAGGAGCAACCGGGACAGAATCCGGCGCCCCGAAGCCTGGTCATAATAAAATCACACATGACAAGATTCAATTTCACACATATAAACTCAAAAACTAGAACTCAGGACTGACAAAACGTATAGCTCAGAATATACGGTGGGGCTGGCACTGTGGCACAGTGGCTTAAGCTACTGCTTGTGACACCAACATCCCAAATGGGAGTGTCAATTTGAGTCCTGGCTGCTCCACTTCTGATCCAGATCTCTGTTATCGCACCTGGGAAAGCAGCAAAGACAGACCCAAGTGACTTGGCCACTGCTACCCTCATGAGAGAGACCCAGATGGAGTCCCAGACTCCTGGTTCCAGCCAGGACCAGCCCCAGCTGTTGTGGTCATTTGGTGAGTGAACCAGTGGATGGAAGGTATCTGTCTCTCTCCCTGGCTCTCCCTCCCTCCCTGCCTCTCTCCCTTTCTGCCTGTAAAATAAATACATAAATCCTTTAAAAAATATATGTAGGCAGGGGCCGGCGCTAAGGCACAGCGGGTTAAAGCCCTGGCCTGAAGCTCCAGCATCCCATATGGGCGCCGGCTGCTCCTCTTCTGATCCAGCTCTCTGCTATGGCCTGGGAAAGCAGTAGAAGATGGCCCAGGTCCTTGGGCCCCTGCACCCACGTGGGAGACCTGGAAGAAGCTCCTAGCTCCTGATTGGTGCAGCTCCAGCCGTTGTGGCCATCTGGGGAGTGAACCAACAAATGGAAGACCCCCCCCTCCCTGCCTCTCCTCTCTGTGTAACTCTGACTTTCAAATAAATAAAATAAATCTAAAAAAAAAAAATGCAGGCAATAAGGCTTATAATCTTGCCTCCAAGCAAGTATTAGGCAGGAACCCAACACCTGCTGCTCTTTCTCCCGTCATTAATAACAAGCCCAGCTTCCTTCTCAGGTTCCTACCCTTCCTCCTGAACAAAACAGCTTTAGTTTAGGAGGGCAGAGCTCACATTGCACAACAGCTGAACTCCAACCTGTGTCCTTCTCTCCTGTTTCAACATCACCTGCCACACTTACACCTTTACCCAGAAACTCGCCCGAAACGCCGAGCTGCACATGTCGCCCAGCCCAGACCCCTCCCTACCACGGGAGCGGGTTAGAAATGAATCAAAGCCCTCCTGGCGGGTGACTGACTAGCGGTTGTTTGGTTTGATTCTCCCGGGAGCACTGTGAAGTGAGCACTGTCATCACCCTCCCGTTGTACAAACATGGACTCTGAGCACAGAGTGCAGGTGGCAGGCAGGACCTTGGCTGATCTCTCCACAGGGACGCGGGCGTGCAGGGACGGCCGTGGTACTCGAAGGAAGGGGAGACGCCGGGCCGCGGGGCGAGGGGCGGATTCAGAGCAGAGGAGGCTGCTAGCCCTCAACAACTCGACGCTCTGCAGAGCCACAAAGAACAAAACCTTCCACGCCGAGGTCATGCAGGGAAGACACATGGGCTTTCCTTATCGCGCAAAGGCTCCCTGCGACTGCTGGAGTCTACTGATCAAAAAGGGGAAAGACAGGAAGGCGAGGGGAGAGAGTCAGGAGAACGGCCCACTTCTGCGCCCGAGGTCGGTCTGCAATCAACACTGCTGGTCCCATCAAAGGAAGGGAAAAGGAGGAAGCTGGGGAGAAGTAAAAGCAGCGGGGGGGGGGGGGGGGGTGTCAGTGCTGCCTAAGATTTACCGCTGGGCGGTGAGCATCCCACATGGAGGGCCTGGTCCCGAACCCAGTCATCCGACACCAGCTGCCCACAGGCACAGACCCTGGAAGGCAGCAGCGATGTCACTGGGCTCCTGGCACCCACGTGGGAGACCTGGCTGCACCTGGCACCTGGCACGAGAGCCAGCCAGGGAAAGGGAGCGCCCGCGCCGGGGGTCCCTCATTCTTCCTGTAGATTCATGACTCGAACTCCCCCAGAGTGATGCGGTCCCAGAGATGGTCAGGGACAAGCACCGCTCGGAGTGGGCAGTGACAAGGATAATCTCATAAAAAACAACACGTCTGACCACAGGGAGTGTTCTCCCTTGCAGGCATGCCAAGTTGCTTTACGAGGCCCGGGTCCCACCCGCCGAACTTTGACTCCCGGTCCCTGGCCTCTTCCTGGGCTTCAGCAAGCCGCAGGCCCGTGCTCGCCGCCAAGCTGCACCGGGCGCGGCTCGCGCAGGGAGCGCGGCCCGGACCCCGGCGCGCTGTCCCCAGCGGCTCGCGGGAGGGAGAAGCCCACCAAAGGCGGAGACCCCGCGCAGCCCAACTCGAGCACAGAGCGGATCTTCTCACCCTACTCACAGCAGGGCAGCTCAGCACCTGGCAGCAAGGCAGGACTGGGGGGCGGGGGGCTGCAGGGGCTCCCGCGGCAGGAACGCAGGCGAGGGTCCTCGGCGCGTCCCCAGGTGCGCGGCCGTGGGCAGGGCTCCCCGAGACGCCCGCCCAGGGGTGCAGAGCCGGGACAGCGGTGCGTCCAAGGTGAGCGCGCTCAGCTGTGCAGACCAGGGGTGCAGCTCCCGCGGGGCGTGCGGCGCCGACACAGGGAGCCCCCCAAGCCCGGCCACGCGGCCCCCGGCCCCCCAACTTACCTCCTCCAGAAATTTGGTCAGATCGTACACCTTGTGGTGCAGGATCAGCCAGGTGCTTTTGCTGTGGTTGTGCTTCTTAATCTCTTCTAGGGTGTAGTACTTCACGTCTTTGTCTGACTGCGCAGCCATCTCTGCACGAGGCGGACCAGGCCCTGCACTCACAGCCGTACCGGGTGGAGCGGGGCAAGCGTCTCAACCAGCTCCGCCCGGGACATTCCCCGCGCACCCGGCCCGGCGCCCGACACAGGGCGGTGGCGCGGCGGAGGAGGGGCGGGCGCCGCGAGGCCCCCGAGGATTGGCCAGGAAGCTTATCGCTCAAGGGGCTCCGCCCTCGGCCGACCCTCTGCTCCAGCCCGAGCGTGCCCCGCGCCCAACGCGCAGGTTCTGATTGGCTGCGGGAGCTGCCCTTCACAGTCACCCGGCGGCGGGGGGGCGCGGGGGGCGCGGAGGGCGGGCGGGGCTTCGCTGAGACTGCGCAGACGGCGGCGAAAGATGCGCGGTGGGGGACAGGGTTCTCCCCGGGGAGGGTAGCGACCTCGGCACGCAGTGGCCGGCGTTTGGTGAGGGGCGGCCGTCAGTGGTCGTCCTCCGCATCCGCAGACGTTGCGGAGACGCTGGATGGGACGGGAGCCTCCCCTCGGCTTCCCGCGGAGCACACGTCCCAAATGCCCGCTGCGGACGGCGGGGTCGCGTCCCTGACCTCCGCCCGGGGACTTGAATTCTTCCCGTACAAAGTAGGGCATGAGTCTGCCGCTCTGAGGAAGCGTGTGCGCCTCCCGGCCGTCCGCTCGCGCGTCCTGAGGAAGCGGGAAGAAGCGCTCCTTCGACAGGGCACGCGGGCCCCTCCCGCAGTGGTGGTGGGCTGCGAAAGGCCTGGCCCCGGGGTGACCACGGAGTCCCTCCTGCCCCAGCGTCGGCAGGGCCTGCAGGCAGCCCTAGCCCAGGAGGTAGAAAAGCATTCCAAAAATACATGTGCGTCCCCTTGTGCTCGCCAGGAAAACATTCCCAAGTGTGACACTTTGGTATTAAGAGATGTTTCTAAGGACTGAGTAGTGCTAAGAAGGTAAACTGTTTGCACTGTGATACTCGGCTTGAGTCACGCATAATACACAGCTGCTTTATTTCACTCCAACCAATGCAAACGAAAACGCTGAGATGATGGCCTGGAAGTCCTGTGCTTTCTTTAACCTTTACTTCTCAGAGAATTACAGGTTCACAAGAAGCTGCGAAAGTAATAGAGAGGTGCCATGCACCCCACACCCATCCTGCAATGGTTACACCTTAATTTATAGCACAGGATCAAAACCAGGAAGTTGACATTCTGTACAGTTCTATCCTGACTTAGGACTTGTGTAGATTTGTGTTACCTCCACTACCACTACGTCACAACAGTTGTGGCACCACAAGGGCTCCCAGGTGCTACCCACTTACAGCCACACCCACTTCCTTTGCAAACCATCCCTGACCCAGACAACCAAGCATCTGTGTTCCATCTACATAACTTTACCGTTTCAAGAATGCTATATGAATGGAATCATACGGCATACGGCCATTTGAGGATGGCTTTTTCACTTGGCGTACTATGCCTTTGGGATCCATCATTGTAAGTGTACTCATAGTTCCTTCTCATTAGTCAGTGTTGCTACATGGTAGGTAGGTGCCAGAGGATCACAGTTTGTTTAACCAATCACCGTCTGAAGGATATTTTCGTTGTTTCCAGTTTCAGGCTATTACAGCAAAGCACCTGTGAACAATCATACGCAGGTTTTTATGTAAACAGGTTTTATTTCTCTAGGATAAATGCCCAGGAATGACCACTGGGACACTTAGTAAGAGTATCCTGAATTGCCAAACACCTTCCAGAGTGTATCATGCTATGTTCTTGTCAGCGGTGTGTGAGAGACGCAGCTTCCTGCCCTTCCCAACGTTTGGTCCCATCACTGTTGTTTATGTTACATATTCTTTTTTTTTTAACTTTTATTTAATGAATATAAATTTCCAAAGTACAATTTATGGATTACAATGGCTTCCCCCCCATACCGTCCCTCCCACCCACAACCCTCCCCTTTCCCACTCCCTCTCCCCTTCCATTCACATCAAGATTCGTTTTCGATTATCTTAATATACAGAAGATCAGCTTAGTATACATTAAGTATGGATTTCAACAGTTTGCTCCCACACAGAAACATAAAGTGAAAAATAATAGATGATTTTTTTAAATGATGATGAAATCAGATCAGACCTATTGTCATGTTTAATCCCAGTGAGAGTCAAGTTGGGAGTTGATAATTTTTTTTTTTTTTACAGAGAATCAGTTTAGTATACATTAAGTAAAGATTTCAACAGTTTGCACCCCCATAGAAACACAAAGTGAAATATATTGTTTGAGTACTCGTTATAGCATTAAATCTCAATACACAGCACATTAAGGACAGAGATCCTACATGAGGAGTAAGTGCACAGTGACTCCTGTTGTTGACTTTACCAATTGACACTCCTGTCTATGGCATCAGTAATCTCCCTATGCTTCAGTCATGAGTTTCCAAGGCTATGGAAGCCCTCTGAGTTCTCCGATTCTTATCTTGTTTAGACAAGGTCATAGTCAAAGTGGAGGTTCTCTCCTCCCTTCAGAGAAAGGTACCTCCTTCTTTGATGACCTGTTCTTTCCACTGGGATCTCACTCGCAGAGATCTTTTGCCAGAGTGTCTTGGCTTTCCATGCCTGAAATACTCTCATGGGCTTTTCAGCCAGCTCCGAATGCCTTTAGGGCTGATTCTGAGGCCAGAGTGCTATTTAGGACATCTGCCATTCTATGAGTCAGCATAGACCTGACTGTTAATGAACAACTTAATACATTATCCCTCTTAGTAGTTTTTTTGTCTGTTCTACTTAATATGACTGGTTTAATTCTGTAATTAATACACAGTTATTCTTAAGTGTTAAAAATTAACTGAAATGTGATCCCTGTTAAACATAAGAGTGGGAATAAGAGAGGGAAGAGATGTATAATTTGGGACATGCTCAAGCTGACTTGCCCCAAATGGTAGAGTTAAAAACATACCAGGGGATTCCAATTCAATCCCATCAAGGTGGCATGTACCAATGCCAACTCACTATTCCAAGTGATCAATTTCAGTTCACAATTGATCATAATGAAAGGACTAAGAGTCAAAGGGAGCACATAAACAAGTCTAGTACCTGCTAAAACTAACCGATGGAATAAATAAAGGGGAGAGTGATCCAACATGGGAAGTGAGATACTCAGCAGACTCATAGTATGTTACATATTCTAACATTTGTATGTGATCTTCAAAGAAATGTCTCTTCAAATCTTTTGTCCATTTTTTTAGAAGGTCTTCCTTCCGTTGGTTCGCCCCCCAAATGGCCACTATGGCCAGCGCTGCGCCAATCCGAAGCCAGGCGCCAGGTGCTTCCTCCTGGTCTCCCATGCGGGTGCAGGGCCCAAGCACTTGGGCCATCCTCCACTGCCTTCCTGGGCCACAGCAGAGAGCTGGACTGGAAGAGGAGCGAGCGGAACAGAACCGGCGCCCCAACCAGGGCTAGAACCCAGAGTACCGGCACCGCAGGCAGAAGATTAGCCTAGTAAGCCGTGGCGCTGGCCTGTCCATTTTTAAATAATGGACTTTTTAATCTTGAGCTTTAAGAAGCATTTTTATAGGCAGATGGTTTCTGACTTATGATGGTTCAAACTATTGCTTTTTTTACTTTATGGTGGTGTAAAAGTGCTGCACATTCAGCAGAAACTATACTTTCAGTTTTGAAGTTGGGTCTTTTTCCAGGCTAGTGATGCACAGTACAATCCTCCCTGGCCTTGCAGTCATGAAATTAAACAGTGGGTGCTCTGTGTGGCTAAGCTGTTCTCTGCAGTAGGTTGGATGTACTAACTACACTTTCAACACTCATATTTTCAGCTCCCAATGGGTTCATTGGCTTGTATCTGGAAGGTGTCCGGCACGTAACAAATCTTCCCAGCCAGATGAATCAATATATAGGCTTTTATTGAGATTCCACTCCCAGGCGAGGTTCACCGGTCCCAACAGAGCTGGGGGCCGGGGAAGTTGCGTGTCAGAGGTTGGGAGGGCTCCTTTTATAGATACAGGGCGTGGGGGTTAGAGGTGGAGGCGGGTCTGATCCTCATTGGTTGACCTTTAGGCACCCGCGGGGACCTTGACAAAGACTTTTCGTTCCCGGAAGTGCGGGTAGGGACTCTCCATTCCTGGAAATGTAGGCCTTCCCTCCTTGCGGATCCCAAAGCTACCAGTATCTTGTCACAAGTTAACCACAAATGAGTCCATTGCCAGATATGTGGTTGGGGAACACTTTCTCCTAGTTTGTAGTTTGCCTTTCAATCTTCCTAGTCTTTCTCAAAGAAAAAAGTTTTTAATTTTGAAGATGTCCAATTTATCCCTTTTTCATTGATGGATCATGCATTTAGTGTTCTAAGAATTCTTTCTAAGCCCCAGGTTCCAAATATTTTCTCAAATGTTTTAAGATTTGTACAGTTTATAATCCATTTTGAGTTTATTTTTGTGTAAGGCATCAGACTTACATAGAGGTTATTTTTCTTATATCTAATTGCTCAAGAACCACTTGTTGACAAGACTATTCTTCCTCCATTGCACCTTTGTCAAAATTCACTGTACTTGTATGGGGCTAATTCTGAATTCTCTCTTATAGTTCCACTGAGCTATGCACCTACCCTTCTACCAACATCTTACAATCATGATGAGGGTAACTAACAATAAATCCTGAAATCAGGTAGAGTGTTCCCTTCAATGTTATTATTTCTCCTCTTATAATCTAGTTCCTTGGCCTTTCCATATAAATTTTATAATAATCTTGTATTTATAAATATATGTGTCTATAAATTGCTTAGATTTTAATAGTAATTTCATTAAACATGTTTGTTTAATTTGGGGAGGATTACTATCTTCCAATCTATGAACACAGAATCTCTTTATTTAGGAATATTCTTTGATATTTTTCATCAACACTTTATAGTTTTAGCATAGAAGCCTTATATGTGTTTTGTTAGATTTTCTCCTAGGTATTGCTTTTTGGGGAATGATTATAAATAATATTGTCTTTCTTATTTGTTTCTACATTTTCATTGCTGACATATGGAAATACAGTTGATTTTTACGTTTTTCTCATATCCTGTGACCTTGCTGAACTCAGCTTTTTGTAGATTTCCTAGGATTTTCTAAGTACACTGTTATGTCACCTGCAAATAGTATGCCTTTAATTTACTTCTCTTGTCTTATTTTATTGGTTAGAATATACAGTACTATAGTGAATCACAGTGGTGTGTACATCCTTGTCTTTTTCTTGATCTTGGAAAATAATCAGTTTTATACCACAAAATATGATGTCAGCTGTATGTTTTGTAGATTGAGAAAGTATATCCAGTTCTGTGAATTTGTATCATGAGTGAATATTGATTTTGTCTAGTGCTTTTTCTACATCAGTTGATACGATCACATGACTTTTCTTCTTTAGCCTTTTCAGTGACTGAATACACTGATTTTTAAATATTGAACCAGTCTTGCTGGAATAAACCCCACTTGTCTGTGATATATTCTGTCTCTCTATCCATGTGTGTGTGTATGTGTGTGTGCATACATATACATACATTACATATATACTATATATATAATTTTGTTAAGGATTTTAATATTTGTATTTGTGAGATACTTTTACATAGGGGGCTTTTTTCTTCATTTTACTTGAAATACAGAGACAGACAGAGACCCTCCAGCCCCAGTTCACTCCCTAAATGTGCACCAACAGCCAGGACTGGGCCATGCCAAAGTCAGGAGCCCAGAACCCAATCTGGATCTCCAGTGCAGGTGTCAGGGATTCAAGTACTTGAGCCATCATCTGCTGCCTTCCAGGATGTGCACTGGCAGGAAGCAGGATCAGAGACGGATTAGCTGGCGCTTGGATATGGGATGCAGCTAGCGACCTAAGCACTGTACCAAAAGCCCACCTCTTGTTTTCTTTGTATGTACTGTGTTTGGCTTCACAACTAGAGTAACACTGACTTTATGCAATAAGTTCATATGAGTCCCTCCTATTTTTCTGGAAGAAAGAGATTATGTAGAATTGGTATTATGCATCTTTATTTTGGTAAAATACTCCAGTGAAGCCATATGAACCTAAAGATTTCTTGTTAAGATTTTAAATCATGAGTTCAATTTCTTTAATAGTTATAAGACTATTCAGATTATACATTTCATATGGATGAGTGGTGGTATATTTAGGTCCTTTTCATGTGAGTTTTCAAACCTGTGTATTTGTGGAGTTGTTTGCACTAGTGGTGGTCCCATATTAACCCTGTGACCTCTCTAGGGTCTATAGTGGTGTCCTCTGTTTAATTCCTGATATTGGTATTGGTGACTTCTTTTTTTTTCCTCCTTTGTTAGTCTTGGTAGAGATTTATCTATTTTACTGATCTTTTGAAAGGGCCAACTTCTTGTTTCAGTGATTTTCTGTATCCTTTTGTCAATCCCATTGATATCTGCTCTTTTTCTTCCTTTTGTTTGGTTTCCTCTCCCTCTCCCTCTCTCTCTCCCCCTCCTCTCTCCCCTCTCCCCTCTCCCCTCTACCTCTATTTCTCTCTCTTTTAGTTTCCTGAGGTGGGAGTTTAGATTATTGATTTGAAGCTTCCTTTTCTTAAAATATATGTGTTTAGTGTTATGCATTTCCTATACCTTTTTTTAAAATAGTGAACCAGATTATACATTTTTTCCCCACCAATTCTCAGGGAAGCCGAATCTCCCCCATGAATGCTTGTAGAGAACCCAGTCACTTGAGGACATGGTTACCCCTGTAATCTATGAAAAAACTGCTTCAGATTTTAGTCCCAGTTTCAAGTACCTCCAGGAGTTGATCCTCACTCTGGTCTTATGACTCATCAAATGATGACTGTGAGCCAGTCAACTGTTCTAAGCTGCTTGCTTATCGACTGCCTGAGACAGACAGAAGTCAGTAACTATTAGCCAGAACCACAAGAGGTCTTCAAACATCCATGGCAAATGGATAATATGAAGTAACCATGCATGGATTTTAGTGTTTTTGCACAAAATGAATTTGTCTTTTCATTTCACTTTTCACCAGCTTTTTGAAGTACCCTCATATTATTATTACCCAACATGACTCCTTCTTCTAAAACACAGGTGTAAGGAAATATCTGTGTCAGCAGGTACCCGAAGGCAAAGTAAATCTAGAATAATCCAGAGACAAGCAAACCTGAGAAGTTAGAGGAACACAAATATTTACAAACTCCTCCTGACCTCCTTTACACAAAAGGAATTTTTGTAAACATTTAGAAAATCAATTCTACTAAAGTTCTTCATATAAAAATATACTGTAAGAAGTTCTCAAAAAAAGTTCTCAATCTTTCTTCCAGTCTAGGACAAAAACAAGCATTGTTAGCCTTTCCATTCCTCTTCTGATTCCTTCTTCCAGTCATTCACAAGACTCCCTGAGCAAGTCCTTCCTGCCAGGGACAGTTACTCCAACCAGAGGCTGGTTCCCTGGCCAAATGGGCTCCAGTGCAACAATCTGCACAATTTGTATTGTACTTTATGGGGTACCATGTGATACTGTTACATGTATACATTGTGTAATGTTCACTCAGGGTAAATATGTTATCTCTTCAAGCATTTAATATTTTTTAATTATTAAGATTTATTTTATTTACTTGAAAGGCAGAATTACAGAGAGAGAGGAAAAGACAGAAGGAAAGAGATCTGCCATCCACTGTTTCACTCTCCAAATGGCTGCAGTGGCCAGGGCTGGGCCAGGCTGAAGGCAGGAACCTGGAATTCAATCCTGGTCTCCCAAGTGGGTGGCTGTGACCCAAGCCCTTGGGCCATCTTCAACTGCTTTCCCAGCCACATTATCAGATAGCTGGATCAGAAGTGGAGCAGCCAAGACTCAAACCAACACTCATATGAGAAGCCAGCATTGCAGGCAGCAGCTTAACTTGCTGTGTCATAACACCAGCACCTGAACGTTTAACATTTCATAATGAAAGTATCCAAAATCCCAATATTCATATCCTTTAAATAATTATCCCAAAAGATCTGTTTAGTTGATTTCAAATTCCCCATTTATTAGCAATATAATTTCCTAACATTTCAAACATTTTTATTCATCTTAAAGCATTTGTGACTTGAAGGTGCTTTTACCCCCATGCATATTTAGAATATACCAGTGCGGGGGGCCTCTGATCCTTGGGATTGCAGAGGCTGAGCAGCAGCAGAGAACAGTGGACATGTGGTGTCTGAGCACTAAGGGAACCCCGAAGTCCTCAGTTTGCTGCTGAGGTGTGCAGTTTTCCTCAGTAACTTCAGACAATGACAAGGTGCTCGTGTGTAGGACATCTTAGTGTAAACACATTCTCAGGCAGGTTTTCCTTGTAGGTCCCTGTTGAACAGGAGCAGGCCAATAAGAACAGTAAGTGTTCGACTGTAGGACAAGGTTTAAAGATTAAAGATATTTTTAAGATCCTTTTTTGTCTCCAACGCAAGAAAACAAAACAAGCATAAAGTGGTATTGATAAGGAAAACTCCAAATATCCTGTTTAACTTTATAAAGTGTTCAGGGTCTGTAAAGTTCATGGTATCACCATTATCAGCTCACCCAGGTCAGAAGCTTGGGAATCATCTGGGTCATCCTCAAAATTCAGCCCATCACCAGGCCAGGGAGATTTCACCCAAATATCTCTCATCAGTGTTCTCTTTATTCTTAACACTGTGGCTCCAGATTCGCCTTCGTATAGGATATTTTGCCACAGAGTCTTGGTTTTCCATGCCTGAAACGCTCTAACAGGCCTTTTAGCCAGACCAGGGAAGCCTTAAGAGTTGGTTCTGAGGTCAGAGTGAGACCAGCTGTTTACACTACACTCACTCATAAGTACCATCTGACATAAAACCCTTCAAATTCAAGGTCAGGGTGCAGGCTGAACCCATTGTAGTTCCATGTTATATGAATCTATTAAGGTACATTTTCTAAACAAATAAAATTCATCTTTGGTGTTATAAGTCATGATGGTGGTTATCTTTGAGAAAGAAGGTAAGTGGTTGGAAGACAGCATTGAGCAGACTTCTGGGAGGAAGGCAATGTTCTGTTTATAGATCTTGGTGTGCAAGAATGGTTATTTTTGAAAAACCATCAAACTACAATTTGTCTACATTTTCGATTCAAAAAGATTCATCCATATTGTTGCATAAAGCTATAGTTCATTACTGTGCTTCCCACTATCCAATTATGTACATATAATTCAATTTACTTATGTGTTATATCACTAAACATTTGAAAGTTTTGTTTGTTGCAGTTGTATATTTTATCTGACAAACAGTGCTGTTTCAAGCACATTTCTTGGTGCACACATGCAAGAGATTCTTTAGGGGAATAAGGAAGTGCTGAGTCTGAAGGAATGTGAATATTCAACTTTAGAAGACAATCACATTATTTTAAATTTGCATTACCATGGAGAGGTCCTATTCCGCTTCTTTATATACCCTAGGTATTTTGCAAATACTATTTTCTCATGAAGGTCTTAGTTTAGATTTATTTGATAGCTAATAAAGTTTGGCATATTTTCAGATAACTTTCAAGGCCATACATCTTCTACAAAATGCCTGTTCACAACTTCTGCACATTTTTCTATGTGATGCTTTGTCTTACTGTAACCAATTTGTGAGTTCTGTATGATCTAGAAACTAACACCTTATAGATTACATGCATCTAAAAGTAAATATGTTCTTCATATTTGTGGACTGCATCTTTACTTTCCTTACTTTCGGAAAAGAGAAGTTTTCCAAAAAGAGTTTTAAAAAGAACTTTTCCTATAGAAAATTTTAAACCTACACAAAAGCAGAGAGGAGAGTGTATTTTATGCACAAAAGTACAGGTAATTGTATGAATTTCTACTCACCTTCAACAGTTGTCAACATATGATCAATTCTATCTTACCTTTATCATTACCTCACTTTCCATGGATCATTCTAGAACAAATCCATTATATATCAGTTTAGCATGTGTCTTTGAGATAAGGATTTTATAAGTGGTAGAAAAGTAGGCCGGCGCCGCGGCTCACTAGGCTAATCCTCCGCCTTGCGGCGCCAGCACACTGGGTTCTAGTCCCGGTCAGGGTGCCGGATTCTGTCCTGGTTGCCCCTCTTCCAGGCCAGCTCTCTGCTGTGGCCCGGGAGTGCAGTGGAGGATGGCCCAAGTACTTGGGCCCTGCACCCCATGGGAGGCCAGGATAAGTACCTGGCTCCTGCCATCGGATCAGCACGGTGCGCTGGCCACAGCGGCCATTGGAGGGTGAACCAACGGCAAAGGAAGACCTTTCTCTCTCTCTCTCTCACTGTCCACTCTGCCTGTCAAAAAAAAAAAAAAAAGTAATATTCCCAGCTAGAAAATTAGTTCCTTCTATAATAAAATAAAAGGTCGGTATCCAAATTTCTGACTGTGCCATACATTAATTTTATAGTTTATTTATTGAAATCATGATCAAAATGAGGCCTTTTTAAATGACTGATAATATCTCCTAAGTCGTCTTTCAATTCAATCATTACCCTCTTTCTCCTTTAAAATTTACTGTTGAAGAAACTAACTTGTGTATCCTGTAGATACACAGGACTCACAGCACGGTGTTATCTTTGTCTCACACTCCATGTCCAGTTTGTCAAGAGATACATCAATCCCTCTTCCTTTGTTTTTTTTTGTTTTTTGTTTTTGTTTTTGTTTGTGAGAGGTCCCCTCCTTCCCTCCCTCCCTCTCTCTCTCTCTCTCTCTAAAAGATTTATGTGTTTATTTGAAAGAATTACAGAGAGAAAAGGAGAGACAGAGAATCTTCCATCTGCTGGTTCACCCCCAAGTATCCCCAATGGGTTGGCTGAGCTAGGCAGGAGCCAGGAACTTTTTCCAAGTCTCCCACTTGGGTGCAGGGGCCCAAGGACTTGGGCTCCTCCACTGCTAACCCAGGCACATTAGCAGGGAGTTGGATTCTAAGTGGAACAGCCTTTGGACTCCAACCAGTGCCCATATGGGATGCCAGCACTGCAGGCCATGGCTTTAACCCACTGCACCACAGCACAGACCCCAATCCCTTCTTCTGAATGTGTCTAGGATTCAATTTCTGCCCCTGCTGCTCCTACTCTGTTCTGAGGATTGGCACCTCTCAACCTTCAGGCAGCCAACTGGACACCCACACAGCTCAAGCTTCAGGACCCCTCATTTGCACAGGTCTGGAGACCCTCTGACTAATTCCGTACTTGTAATTTCCTATTCTTTTTCCTAAAGAGGGTATCCATAATCATGTTGAGGTCCCACAAAATCTAAAGCCATCCCCTTACCTGGACACATGTGGCAGCCTCCTCTCAGGAACCCCGGATCCACTCTCAAGTCTCTGGGTCTCTGTGTAAAACTGGAGTCAGACTCAGCAAACATAAGTCAAATCATGATCTTCCAGGTACAGAACCCTCCACTGGCTTCCTATGGCACTGAATTTTTAAACCTGTAAAACCAAAACACTTGAGACCAAGAGATCTTTGAAATAAATGGACTTATTGCACCATTACAGATTCTAGCCAGAAGAAAGGACAGTCCTGGGACAAGTTTCCACAGCCACCAACAGAAAGGGTACATACCTGTTGGAAAAATGTCTTCCAAATCTAAGAAGGAAGAATATTTTATAGTGAAAATTGGTGAAAGAAAACACAAGATGTCTACCTTAAATTCACAGTAGGTAGAGATAAGAGGGCAGGACAACACAAAATAGGTAAACTTTCAGAGAGGAAGATAGTCGATTGGGAGAAGAGCTGTAGTTTCTTGACTGGTGGTGTTGCAAGCAAGATGCAATGGCCACTTACCAACATCTGGTCTTGGTGACTGACTGTCTGGGGGATTGAGTGAAGGTTTCAACACACATTTAGGAATGTGGAGCAGTTTTTTTGGTTGGTTTGGCCCAAAACTGTTAGATGATTATATTATCTCTCCTCCCTCCCATCCTCCAATCTCGTCATTAAATTTAGTACATCTCATAATTTTTCTCTTATTAAACCATACCTACAAGGTCACACACAACCACCCCCTTGCTACCTCTCCAATCTCACGTCCTAAGACACTATCTTGCTTCTTCCACCCTGCCCCACTGGAATTCTTCAAGCATGTCAACACTCTTCCTATTGAAGCCCTTGTACATTTCATATCTCTACCAAGAATGTGCTTAATCTCATATTTGCTTCTGTCCTCAAAATTCGTCTGATTAGAATGGACTTCCCTTGCCTCTTTGTCTAGCATGGCCCCTTAACCCCCATCACTGTCCCTTTCCTTACCCTCCTTCATTTAGTCCCTAGTGAACTATTCTTATTTCTTAATTATCTACTCTTCCTATGTTAAAATTTAAACTCTAGAATATCAGTGACTCTCTAATACTCTAGTAAATGCAAAATAAATGTATATTGAGCAATCAGAAAAGTAAATCAAAGTGAGTAGAAAGATCTAGGCTCTTTTTAGCAAATTATACCTGGTAGACTTGTTATGAGAATTATCTAGCTAGCTTATCTTGCAGATGTTCTGCTGCACAAACTAAACCATCCCCCAGATTCCTCCAGAAGGGAGCTTGAAAGAAGTTCATGCTGAGAGACAAGGAAAGAGGTGGGGCTGGGGAGAAGTTAAGTTGGGAGAGAGGGGTCAGCATTGTGGCATAGCTGGTAAGCCACTACCCACAACACCAGCATCCCATATGGGCACCATTCCAGTTCCAGCTTCTCCACTTCCAACCCAGCTCCCTGCTAATGTACCTAGGGAAAGCAGCAGCAGATGACCCAAGTACTTGGGTTCTTGCCACCCACTTGGGAGACACAGATGGAGTTCCTGGTTCCTGGTTTTGGCCTGGCCTAGTCCCAGCAGTTGTGGCCATCTGGCAGTGAACCGCCAGATGGAAGATCTCTGTCTCTCCCTCTCTCTCATTCTGCCATTAAGTAAAATGAATCTTTTTAAAAAGGAAGGAGAAAAGTTCCAAAGGGAAGAGGTAAGGGAGGAGTGACCTCTGGGATGGACCCCAGAGCTACCATGGAAGACCCCTACACAATCAAGATGCTGACATTATTTACTAGAATGGAAAAGAGATGCCATTTCTAAAATCCCACCCCTTCAGGTACCATATTGGAAAACACAATATCTAGTAAGCGTCTGCTAAGTACAAGGGTACTTAAAAACTTCATAGAAAAATATAATTAATACAATTAAAGATGTTTATTGGTGTGAAAAAATTGAAATCCATTTTTTCATAATATGCATTTTCCATGAAATTTTCAAGACCTCATCATAACATTCAAGTGTTTGTATTTAGTTAACCCACTAACAGTTAAGGCTGCTTTATAATGAATAATGAATGAAATCCAGTAATTTAGATAAAATACTGAGGCTACACAGACTAATTGAATGCTATGATTCCCTAACTACTCAACCTTTGGGGAAAACAGATTTTAATGCTTTTATGTTAGCCATCTCTTCTTCTTTTTTAAATTATTATTTGAAAGGCAGGGCTTTCTCAGATTCCACACCAACCTGTATCTAAATCTCATTATCTAACTTTAAAGTATATCTAGAATCCAATCCCATCTCACCACTTCCATTGCCACTACTGGGATCCAAGCCACACTGCCTCTGTCCTGCTTTACTGCCATTGCCTTCTAACTGCTCTTCCCTGTCCCCTTCACTCCATTCTGTGCACAGCAGCCCAGGTGCACCTGCTAAAACTTACGTGGCTCAGCAGGCCTAACACTGTCTGCTTCTGAGTCCTCCAGTCTTGTGTTACTTCTTCTTCCCTGCCCTACTGCAGCCCCAGTTACCTTCCTTCCTCAGGACTTTGTAGGCTGAGTCCATCTCTTGTCACCCAACTCCCCTCCCCCCATCCACAAGTTCATCATTCTCACTGCCCTCACATTTTACTCAGACATCATCCATTAAACATAAAGTTCTCTCCCTAACACTCCCTATCACTCTAACCTCCTTTATTTTTCCCCAAGGCACCTAACACTATCTATCATACTAAGGTTTTGCTCATTTTTCTTGATTACCAGCTGTTTTCTCCCAACCCCTGCCAATGTAAATAATCAGATATTCTCCAAAGAATAATATTTGGTAATGATGAAGCATTGCAATAGGAATACACATTCCATAGTACATTATGGGCATATTCAAGGAGCTTTGAGGCACCGGGGAGTTTTTAAAGGCAAAAAGGGAAATTACATAAGCTACCTGGATACAAAGTTTCACTTGGGGGACCTGAGGCAGATGTGGCAATGGCTCATTGGTGGAGATATGGTGGCTGGGGAAGTTCTCTGTCCAGAACATTTTGTCTGAATTGTTAGTCTTTTTTAAAAAATATTTATTTGAGGCCGGCACCGCGGCTCACTAGGCTAATCCTCCGCCTTGCGGCGCCGGCACACCAGGTTCTAGTCCTGGTCGGGGCGCTGGATTCTGTCCTGGTTGCCCCTCTTCCAGGCCAGCTCTCTGCTGTGGCCCAGGAGTGCAGTGGAGGATGGCCCAAGTGCTTGGGCCCTGCACCCCATGGGAGACCAGGAGAAGCACCTGGCTCCTGCCATTGGACCAGTGCGGTGCACCAGCCGCAGCGCACTGGCAGCGGTGGCCATTAGAGGGTGAACCAACGGCAAAGGAAGACCTTTCTCTCTCTGTCTCTCACTGTCCACTCTGCCTGTCAAAAAAAAATTTTTTTTTTTTTATTTATTTGAAAGAGTTATTGAGAGAGAGAGAGAGAGAGAGAGAGTCTTCCATCCTCTGGTTCAGTCTCCAAATGGCTCCCACAGCCAGGAGCCAGAAGCTTCATCTGGGTCTCCTACATGGGTGCAAGGGCCTAAGTCCTTGGGCCATCTTCGGCTGCTTTTCCAGGCACGATAGGGAGCTGAATCAGAGGCAGGGCAGCCAGGGCTCAAACTGGCGCCCATATGGTGTGCCATCATTACAAGCAGTGGCTTAACTCATTAAGCCACACGCAGGCCTGTGTCACAGTCTTGAAGCATGTCAAACTTTCAGAAAACTGTACATACTGGTGAAGTACGCAAAGCTTGGCGCACGTGTGGAAAGTCCTTGAAAATAAACTACCTTGGACCCCGGCTCCAATTTTGGATGGAACAAAAATGATTTCATCTTGGTACCAACGTTCACACTGCCAGGTAAAAATCAGAGGGGGCTACCGCTTGCCTAATGCTCTGTCACCCGCACACGGCAGGTGCCTAACGCACACGGAACAAATGAGGCGCCCATCACAGCCCGCACCTGCCCTAGCTTCCTCTCCGCGCCGCGCGTCCAGGCGGTCAGCGCTGGAGAGTCAGGGCCACCTTCGGAAGTCGCCCAGAGCAGACCGGCAAGGTCGAGGGACACGCGGCCGCCCCAGGGAGCCCGCCTGTGGTCACCGCGCTGCTGCAGCCTTCCTCTCCCAGCCACACCGACCCCGGCTCTTCCTCCTCGAACCCGGCAGCAGCCAGCACCTGAACCGCGCCTGGAGCGCGGGAGCGCTGGGAGTGCTGCCCGAGAACGGCAGAGGGCGACGAGCGTGCTGTGCGGTCATCCGGCACAAGGAGGACGCGGGGCGCCCGGGGCCTGCTGGGAGCGCAGAGGCCTGCTGGGAGCGCAGAAGCCTGCCTGAAGCACAGAGGCCTGCTGGGAGCGCAGAGGCCTGCTGGGAGCACAGAGGCCTGCTGGGAGCACAGAAGCCTGCCTGAGGCACAGAGGCCTGCTGGGAGCACAGAGGCATGCTGGGAGCGCCTCGCCAGGTGACGCGGAGGCGCTCGGGCGCGCGAGGCTGAGGCGCAGGTTCCGGACGCTGGGGAGCAGCAGGCACGGGCGTGAGGGGAGGCCGAGGGCAGGCCGCGCGCCGTGGGGCGCTGGTGTGACAGTGTTTAGAAGCAGCTCTGGTTTTCCTCTGTATGTACCCCGAGTAAAGCCCTCGGGGACGTGTTCCGCACAATTCCTGCGTGACTGTGGGCAGGAAAGGGAACCAGGGCGGCAGGTGGCCGAGGGCCTGGGGCAGCCCCGCGGAGCCAGGCGGGCGGGCAGGGCTCTGGGCTCGGGCTGCGTCCCGCCCTGGGCGCCGCGGGAAGAGACGCTGGGTGAAGTCCGGGAGCCACGGTCAGGGCGCCGGATTCTGTCCCGGTTGCCCCTCTTCCAGGCCAGCTCTCTGCTGTGGCCCGGGAGTGCAGTGGAGGATGGCCCAAGTGCTTGGGCCCTGCACCCCATGGGAGACCAGGAGAAGCACCTGGCTCCTGCCATCGGATCAGCGCGATGCGCCGGCCGCAGCGGACATTGGAGGGTGAACCAACGGCAAAAGGAAGACCTTTCTCTCTCTCTCTCTCTCACTGTCCACTCTGCCTGTCAAAAAAAATTAATTTTAGTGAGCAATATGTTTTAAAGGTAAAAGTAAAAATTCACTAATTTTGATCCACGTCACTGACCTGTTTTCTTTAGACATGGTTGTCCTAACTCAAGCTATATGTTATCTTTTTATTATTGATACCCTCTACTAAAACACTTCATATGAAGTGAATTAAAATTGTGGATTAAGTTGTGTTTGTCTTAGAACTTTGTACTATTTTAACAAGAGATTTTTGAGTAATAAAAGGGGTTGTGTTTCTTTATCATTTCCATAACTCAATTCATTCATTCTTTCTCTTTCTTTCTTTCTTTCTTTCTTTCTTTCTTTCTTTCTTTCTTTCTTTCTTTCTCTCTCTCTCTCTCTCTCTTTCTCTCTTTCTCTCTTTCTCTCTTTCTCTCTTTCTCTCTTTCTCTCTTTCTCTCTTTCTTTCTTTCTTTCTTTCTTCAGAGTTAGTGAGAGAGATACAGAGAGAAAGGTCTTCCTTCCGCTAGTTCACCCCCATTTGCAGCTGGCGGGCTGCGCCGATCCCAAGCTGGGAGTCAGGTGCTTCCTCATGGTCTCCCACACGGATGCAGTGTTATTTATTTGAAAGACAGTGTTACAGAGAGAGAGAAAGAGAGGTCTTCCATTCTGCTGGTTCAGTCCCCAAATGACCACAATGGCCAGAGCTGAACTGATCTGAAGCCAGGAGCCAGGAGCTTCTTCCAGGTTTCCCACTTGGGTGCAGGGGCCCAAGGAATTGGGCCATATTCCACTGCTTTCCCAGGCGGTAGCAGAGAGTTGGATCAGAAGAGGAGCTGCTGGCCAGCGCTGCGGCTCACTAGGCTAATCCTCCGCCTGCGGTGCCAGTATTCTGAGTTCTAGTTCCGGCTGGGGCACCGGTTCTGTCCCGGTTGCTCCTCTTCCAGTCCAGCTCTGCTGTAGCCCAGGAAGGCAGTGGAGGATGGCCCAAGTGCTTGGGCCCTGCACCCGCATGGGAGACCAGGAGAAGCACCTGGCTCCTGGCTTTGGATTGTCGCTCTGGCCATGGTGGCCATTTGGGGGGTGAACCAACGGAAGGAAGACCTTTCTCTCTGTCTCTCTCTCTCTCTCTCTCTCACTAACTCTGCCTGTCAAAAAAAAAGGGGGGGGGGAGCTGCCGGGATTTGAACCAGTGCCCATATGGGATGCCAGCACTGCATGCTGGGGCTTTAACACGCTGCACCACAGCGCCGGCCCCTCAATTATTTCAATAACATAAAAAATGAGATATATTGAGGTCCATCTTGGATTTTTGTTTCTTCTGATGAGCACTTTGCAAATTATTTCTAAGTATAATTTAACAGCAAACATTACTTTTTAAAATTGCTTTTCCTGATAAGGATTTATATAAAACAGCATAAAAGCAGAGTAAGGGAAGAAATTTTTTTTCATTTTGAGTGATACCAGAAATCATTTTGATTAACGTTAACACTTGTATGAATTTGTGGTAATCATTCTAAGAGTACTTCAACTTTTAAAAGAACTAAGTGGTCCATAATTAAGAACATATCAAACACTGTGGTTCTTGAGTGAGGGAGAAGTGTTGGAGCCAAAAGGGCATTGCCAGTTTTTCCTCTGATAATAAAGGCAGTGTTCTTGTGATCAGAATGAAGGCTGGTCTTGGTTGAGATTCCGGGGCTACTTCTATGTGATTATGTTTTATTTAAAGAGAAAAAATATGTTACTATTAAAACATTTGAAGTACTAGGGTTCAGGTTACCTTCCTTGAAAGTATTTGTGTGTGCTTGCTTATTTGATCATCAGTAGGTTGATTTATTTGTATATTCCAGATTTTTGCAATATAAATAAAGACATTACTGTGTAAACTAGCAGCTGTGCAAAATGTACCCCAAATAGAAGTTTTAGAACCAGATAGCCTATTGGGAAAGAAAACTGGGTAATAATTTAGTGATCACAGTAAACATTTTATTTTATATGAAGACTAATATATGCCTCAGCTTTGAAGAGCATTATAGAGATGATTTTAAAGAGCAGAAGACTTTGGTGTTTATTTGTATTTTGAAAGTTTATTGCCATAGGAATGTTTTTTCCTGAAAACAAAATAAAACTTAAGAATCATCAGGAACTATAGAAGGAATTTGTTAAACACAATATAGTAGAAACATATGTAATACCTAGGCTGTAGTAGGCATTTGATAAAAAGTATCTGGTGTTTTGTATCATTTGTACTCAAATTATCCTATTTGTATTACAGAACTGTAGGTTTGAAACAATTTTTTTTTTGGCATGATGAAAATACTTATTGCATTGATGGTTGTGTGATTCTGTGACTACAGTAAAAAACATTGACTTGTAAGCTTTAAATGGATAAATTTCATATTATATGAAGTTTATCTTAAAAGCTGTACAAAAAATCATAGAAAAACTTAAAATGTCAGTGATGTTGGTGAAATTTACCAAAGTTTTTCTATTATCCTTTTTTTAAAAGATTATTTATTTGGAAGTCAGAGTTGTACAGAGAGGCAGAGAGAGAGCAAGAGAAAGAGAAAGGTCTTCCATCCACTGGTTCACTCCCCAGTTGGCTGCAATGGCCAGAGCTGCACTGATCTGAAGCCAGGAGCCAGGAGCCTCCTCCAGGTCTCCCACGTGGATCAGGGGCCCAAGGAGTTGGGCCATCTCTCACTGCTTTTCCAGGCCATAACAGAGAGCTGGATTGGAAATAGAGCAGCCGGGTCTCGAACTGGCGCCCATATGGGATGCTGGCACTGCAGGGGGCAGTTTAACCCGCTGTGCCACAGCACTGTCCCCTCTGTTATCTTATAATATCAAACATTATGTGCTGAATTGGTATTGAAACCCTATGGATAAGATAGTTTACTACCTTTTCATTGCTGTTTTGTTTTTAAAGGCCTGATTGCTGAGACACATAGTGGGAAAATATGAGTAATTCTAAGCAGCAGCTACTGTTCTTCGTCACACTTCCAGATTTACAAAAGCTCTGTGCTGTCAGATTCATACTGAGTAATGGTGTAACAGATACTGAGATGAGGAGTACACAGATGAAGATGTGCAGGTAAAAACTACGCCTTATAACTTAGGCTTTTAAAACTTTTTAAAATGTACAAGAGCTATTTCAGAAATATTTTCTTTAAATCAAAATACTCAGTCATGTGACTGGCATGAACCCTGTTACTTGAGCCATCACTGCTACTTCCTAGGGCCTGCATTAGCACTAAGCTGGAGTCAGTAGCCAGAGCCAGGAATTGAACCCAGGTACTCTAATGTGAAATGTGGACATCTTTCATTTTTTTTCCTTAAAATGTATTTATTTATTTGAAAGGCAGAGTTACAGAGAGAGACAGAGAAAGAGAGATCTTCCATCTACTGGTTCACTCCCCAAATGGCTCCAGTGGCTGGGACTGGGCCAGGCCAAATCAAGGAGCTTGGAACTCCATCTGGATCTCCCACATGGGTGTCAGGGACCAAGTGCTTGGCTGTCTTCCACTGCTTGCCCAGACACATTGGCAAGGAGCAGGACTGGACTCAAATCAGCACTCATATAGGATGCCATCATCTCCAGTGGCAGCTTCACCTGCTGTGCCACAACCTGGACATCTTAACTACTAGGCCCAAACACCCACACTACTCATTAATAAATATTTACTGAGTACTGTTTATGGGGTACTTCTATATACTGTACACATTTTTATTAGTATAGTTTCTTCATTTTCAGCTTGATATAAGACATTGAAGGCTATTTCTTCAAGAACTATCTCAAAATAATCTTACTGAAGATAATGTTTGGAAAAATATCTTGGTTGAAACCTAAAGTATAATTCTATGATTACAAGTGCCCACCATGTACTAGTTCGTTAAATTGTTTGAGGCTTTTAAAGAAGGACTTGTAGAATACATGAGAAGATTAAATCCTTAATTTCTTTGAGGAAAACAAACTCCTATGAAATTACTAATGACAAGAAATAAGGAACATACTGTTGGTTATCTTCCAGTTCCCTGTTATTTTAAAACTGCTCCCCATTGCGTATTTTACTACCCAAATGCAACAAGGAGCCTGTATCCTTCCTACAGAGGGGTAATTTGATGATACCTGTGACCCTTTTGGAAATACTAAAATAGGTAGAAAATCTTAAGTGAGATTTTCTGCTTTTGCCTCACATTGAAAGTGCCTATGCCCGTGGATTGGGCCTTTCTTAATCCAACAGGCTGGAACAGAGAGAAAGGAGACCAGCTGTGGCAGACAAAGGCCTTGTAACACCATGGTGCCTGCTGTAACTGAGTATAGTATGAAGCCACCAGGGAGAGACTGGCCTGTCTTGGCATTTTGGAGTCATCCCTTGCATACTCATGCTCATTTTTTTTTGATGGTTAATGTTGAAAATTTTCAAGTTTCCAACTATATTTTCCTGTCTTCCTTGACCTTGGAAACAAAATGATGGTAATTTGAGCTATGGTGATTTTTATTAAAAGTTTATTTGGCTGTTAAAAATTAAGCTAAAACCACTACCAGCTTCTTTGTAATTTGTGAAGAATTTCCTTTTTGAAGGAAAAGATCCTAGTCAATGGTTCTAATTTTGGTCATCGATGAAATAGAAGAATCATTAGACTCTTGCTTTCATGGGCCCTTATCTGCCACTGGATGGATGGATGGATGGAAGGAAGGGAGGGATGGTGGGAGGGAAGGAGGGAGATAAGGGAAGAAATGAGTTAAAAGGGATCAGATCCTCACTGTGTTTGGACATTGTCAAGTCTATATTTAGGACAGAAATTGAGTTTTAAAAGAGCAATTTTCCTGGATGAAAGAGACTGGGAAACTCAGATACTGTGACAGATTTCATATTAATAACATTATATGAAAGTTCATGCTTTTCTTAATTCAAATGTTGGCCAAGTTCCTACAGCATTCAAGGTACCATGGCACCATGCCAACGTGCTAAGTATGGGGAGAGATCCTTGTCTAGAAGAAATTTAAAAATTTAAGCAAATTTTATAAATGCTTCAGTAAAGTGAAAACACAGAGGGTGCAATAGACTACTTCAGAATTAATACATTTCATCTCCACAGGCAGTTGCTGTTTTTGCATCAGGAGATTCTTACATCACCTGTGCCAGGACTGTTAAATCAAATTTGGGTGGTGATGGCGGTTAGTATTTTAATATTTGAAGAAATATTATCAATTGTTGGAAGCAATATTGATAAACATAATTCAGGTAGCATGTATAAAATTGATGATGGTTTATTAGTGTGACTCATGTTGTACTTTGCACCATTAACAGATTATGAAATGCCTGATGTTTAAAATCCATTTTTGTGGTTACAATTTAATATTTCATTTTGTCTCTCATAAATACTAAGATGAAAACTATTGATAAAATGTTACTGCATAGTTTTAAATAACATGGGCTTAATACATTTATTATATCTTGTTATGTGGAGTTACACTTAAGGAAGAAGTTTTACATTTTGATAAATTTCCAACTCTTTTAAGTAACTTAATGTTTCTTCTCATTTGGAAATTTCATGTATAAAAATATTTTTTAATCCCTAGCAAAATCAGAACTACAAACATATTTCCCAGGCCATAGATAATTGGTTGGGAATGGTAATGAAGTTTTCATTAAGGGGCTGGCACCGTGATACAGTGGGTTAAGGCATCACCTGCAGTGCTGGCATCCCATGGGGAGCGGATTTGAGTCCCAGGTGCTCCACTTCTGATCCAGCTCACTGCTAATGCTCCTGGGAAAGCAGTAGATGATGGCCCAAGGACTTAGGCCCCTGCACCCATGTGGGGGACCCGGATGAAGCTCCTCACTCCTGGCTTCAGCCTGGTCTAGCCCTGGCCATTACAGCCAGTGAGAGTGAACCAGTAGATGGAAGATATATATCTCTCTCTCTATCCCCCTCCCTCTCTCCCTCTCTGTAACTCTTTTTTCAAATAAAAAAATAACAATCTTAAATATAATAATTTTAAAATCATACCCTGGAAGTTTTGTCAAAAGTGTTTCTGAAAATCCTGTTTTTGTGTGATTTTTAATTCCCCAAATTAAGAGAAATGAACATTATTGGCAATGCTGATAAATCATCCAAAACTTTCAGTTCCTTTATATTTCTCCTACATCTTGGTTTTATGACAGTATTTTCTTTTCTTGTCCTTAATATTATTTTTAAGAGAGCTGTTGGTGAGCAAGTAGACTAATGTCTCTTAATTTTATTCTCTTCTACCTGAAAAACTTCATGGAACAAAGAAGATACTCTTTTAGAGTTCTAGTTCAAATATCCTAGACTTAGGAAAAATAATAAGAGAAAAGTCGTTATCTTTTATATGTACAAAATAGGATTATTAAATATCCTGTTTTGAAGCTTGCCTTTTATTTCCCCTTAAGTAGCCTCTCCTGAATATCTTTCTTAAAACACATTCCTAATGCTGTGAAATATTTTGTCCTATAGATATTTAGTAATTTATTTAATACTTTCTAATGCAAATCAGAGTTTCTAGTTTTGTGCTGTTACAAACTGCTGAAAGAAAACACCATTGAAATTTTATCCTTTTTATTTGGTAGTTTTGAGGGGTTACATTTTTATTAAGTGGTATCGAAGCACATTTTTAAAAGTTTTATTTGTTTGTTTGAAAGGGAGAGTAACAGAGTGAGAGATTTTCCATTCACTGTTTCACTCCCCAAATGCCCACAATAGCCAGGGTTGAACCAAACCAAACCCAGGAGCTAGGTATCAGGAAGCCACATCCTTGGGCCATCATCTGCTGTCTCCAAGGGTAGACTGTTAAGAAACTGAAATGGAAGCAGACAGGACTGGACCCCAGTTCTTCAATATGTGATGAGAATCTCCCAACAGAGGCTTCACCTGCTGCAACACAACACGCACTCTTACAACATACTTTAACGTGTAATGAAAATACTGCTAAGTTGCTCTCAGAAAAGTTTGTACTGAATTATGTTTCAGCAAACAGTCTCTGAGAGAATCTGTTTATCCACATCCTCATGAACACTAAGTATTAGCAGATTTTAAATATTTGCCAATTTGTTAGTTTAAAAATAATATATTCCTTCAATTTGTATTTTTTCATTAGTAAGTTCAAGACTTGATCTTCCATTTATGTCCATTTTCCTTATTCATGTCTAAGAATACTGTATATTAAGAAAGGTGTTAAATACATATATATGAAATGTATTGGCTTTTTCTTTTATATGGCTTCTGGAGTCACATCATTCCCAGATAGCCTCTTTCTAGTCTGAGAATGTGCCCATGGCTCGTGGGCCAAGGAGAGAATGATCGATTCTTCTCCATAGCATAGAAGCTGCCAAGATGATGACCTGAGTTGTATGCTGCAATGTATAATGCCTAAAATCTTAATGCATTACATAATTTAATTGTGTATATATGTTAAGTCCTTTTATAAATGTGAATTTTTGTTATAGATACCATTTTATAAAGCTGGAAAACTTAATGCTTATACTGAAAAATATGGAGCTAAGGTAAGTTTTTAAAAGGAAAATAATTCCAGATGTTGCTTGTATTGATTGTATACTCAACTTCTTTTGTCAAGAAAAATTGGAGTGTCTTTCTCATAAGTTATTGTTATACATTTGAAAAAAAATTTTTTTACAATTTTGTGCACATTTAGCATCAAAAAATGGGCGAAAGATTTTTTTTTGTTTTAGTTTTAACAATTTATTTGACAGAGGGACAAAGAAAGAGAGCACATGAGAGAGCTGCCATGCACTGGTTCCCTCCACAAATGTCTAAATGCCTAGTGATGGGCCAGGGTTGGAGCCAAGGTCCAGAAACCAAATTCACGTGGGTCTTCTGTGTGGGTGGTAAGAACCCAGCTATTTGAGCCATCACTACTGCCTGCCTCTTAGGGTCTACCTTGGTAGGAGGTTAGAGTCAAGAACCAGAGCTGAAGAGATGACCATCTAAGCATTCTGGTTATCTTGGAAAGGCAATTTATGAACTATGAGAACCAAATTTAAAATATGTGCTTCGTCTAGAACTGGGACCCTAAGTGTTTCAGCACTCCCTACAAAATTGTATCCTTTATCATGGAAGATGTCTCGGTTTGGTAGCGGCACCTTTGCTGTCTTGCTGGCATACTCTTGAAGAATTTAATCTTCTCATCTACCTGTCTAGACTGATAGATATGTAAACGTTATGGTGTTTTTGGACAGACTCTGACAAATGTTACAAAAGGGGATTTGACTGGTTCTTGGTTAACTCCTCACTTCCCACCTTGGAGTATCTGGGCTCAATTCCCAGCTTTGGTTTTTCAGCTTCCTGCCTCCTGTGTGGGAGATCCTGGGAGGCAACAATAATGAGTCAGGTAATTAGATTACTACTTCCTTTATGAGAGACCTACGCTGCATCTCCAGTTGCCAGTTTTGGCCCCAGCCCAAGCCCAGGGATAGCCATTGCCAGCACTTGGAATGAACCGGCAAATGATTCTCCCTCTTCCTGTTTCCTTTTCATCTCTTTCTCTAATAGAAGTAGAGCTATTCAAGTTACCTATTTCAAGGAGTATATCCAAATCATTAAGATGTTCAAACTTGTGGCATATAGTTGCTTGTAATATCTCCTCATTTTCCTTTGCTGTAGAGTCTGTAGTGATGGTACCTCTCAAGTTCCTCATTTTGATCATGTGTGTCATGCATTCCTTTTCCCCTCATCAGGTTAGCTAGAGGTTTGGCGATGTTACTGATCTTCTCAAGGGACAAGCTTTTGGTTTTACTGATTCTCTCTCCTGTTTTACTACTTTATATTTTTGTTGATTATTGTTTTGGTCCTTACTATTTCAGTTCTTCCCCTTTCTTTGGGATTACTTTTCTGTTACTTTTGTAGTTTCTTAAGGTGGAATTAATTTGAGAAATTATTTTCTAATGTAGAAGTATTCAGTGCTAACCATTTCCTCCTAAGCATATGTTTTGTTTTTGTTAGAAATTATGACTCCCAAATTTTCTGTGAGTTACTTAGAATTATGTAGTTTCCAAATATTGGGGGATTTTCTAGTGAACTTCCTGCTATTAATTGCTAACTTTGTTGTTAGAGAACATGTTTGGAATGATTTGAATTTTTAAAAAATATATTCAGACTTATTTATGGCCCAGATCATTGTTTGTCTTATAGAAATGTTCCTTGTCCAGTTGAGAAGAATGTGTATTCTGCTCTTGTGTCAAGTATCCTATAGGTGTTAATCAGGACATACAGCTGACAGTGTTAAGTGACCATGTTCTCTCTTATTTTCTGCCTACTTACATCAGTTATTGAAATCTCCATCTGTAATTGTGAATTTGTCTCTTTCTCCTTGAAGTTCTGTCAGTGGCCTGCAGAGATCTCATCAGTGAGGCTCCTCTTGGTTACTAGGGGAGCTTCCAGAGGTATAACTGATTGATAGTTCATACACATCCTAAAATAGTTTTTCCTACGGTAGGGGTTACACAACCAGAAAAGGTGACACAAACTCTGCTCTGATTTTAGCTGAAATAATAAATGGAACCATCTGCACTCTAGAAGGCATTCTGGCCACCAGCTGGGATGGTTATAAATGATAGAATTACTCCAGACTTCTCCCTGAGTCTGTTGTGATAGATCCTGCTGAATCTGTATAATTCCTTAGACCAAGGAATAAAGTAATACAGAAATTAAAGAGAAAGCCACCTGGCCTTCTAAGGTAGACCTTGGTGGCTTATGGGATATGTTCATTGCAGGTTAACCTCATTGTTCTGCTAGGAGTCCTACTGATGGTAACTTAAGTTAAATCCTCTATGAGACAAATGGAGAGTTTTGATTCCTTCCCCTGATAATATATTATTCATGGGGTATCCTGGAAACATTTGCCAGAAGCCAAAATGGTACAAAAATGGGGAATAGGTAATAGAGACAGTTTTCCTTGGGTTTCTTACTTTATCAGATGTCTTTTTTGCACAGGCTGTCTTCTGGACTATATTTTCAGGGATGTTTATATAGCAAGGAGCCTTGGTTGCTTCCTCAGCCTTGGGTAGTTTCCACATGTACATGTGCTAATCCACACTCGGGTGAATAGTCTGAGGGACTGACTGCTGATTGGCAGGTTTGCTCTCTGTGTGGCTCTCATCTGGCTTCCTTGGCATCCCTGAACCACTAACTCTGTCTCTTTGATTGGGGAGATTGCCAGAGTCTTCCTGGATTCCCCACCCTGTGCTGTAGCCTGGAAATTCTAATCAGTAAGCGGGAGAAATCACTGGACTCATCTTGTTGGTTGCCAGTCTTTTCGGTATCACTCTTTTGTTGCCTAGTGTCCAATATCTTATGAGCCATTGTTTCATATAAATTACCCAGTGTTTTAGACATTTCAAGTGAGAAAATAAATCTAGTTCCAGTTATTTATAATCAGAAGTGAAAGTCCTGATTTTTAAAATTAATTCTGTACAAATAGAGACAGACACTCCATTCATTGCATGTGTGCCTGTAATAATTTTCTGACGATGAGCCAGAGTTAACAATAATAGAAAATATAAAGAGATCATTTTGGTCTGGGTACCTCTCTGTGGAGCAGAATATCAAAGTTGAAGATTCTTAGCATAGGAGCTCTCAGAGCTTTAGCTTCTGGGCCAGGGTTAGCTTGTAGAATTTGGCCACAATAGCATGGCAGTAGTACTGGTTTTGGAGTCAATATCATTTCTTTAATTTTAGAACCAGATAGCATTTGCTATAGAAGTGGTTATAATTTTGTCTAGAAGGTCCACTTTGCTGATTGGTGATCTATGTACAGCTATTATTACCTGTAAGTTTACAGTGATGCAGCAATTGCCCCAAATTTGCTTGTATTTTTCCATTTAATGTTTTTAGGTAGAGGCTCCACAAAGAGTAATTCCTGTAATTCTTCAAAACTGCCTTTCATATTCATTGACTGCCAGACTTGCTCCAGCCTGGAACAGAGCTGGACATCTCTTGGTACAAGGTGACTTTCTTTCTTTCTGAACTATATTACTTCCATTATGTACATCTGTTTTTAATTTTAAAGTGTGTTGTTTTTAGGGAATCGTTCTTAAAACTATTGCATTCTTCAGGAAGCTCACAACATAAATATCATCTCCTTTTTTGGAATTACATCCAGAGGGCTGCTAATGTTTCTTTAAAATTTTTTACTATGTAATACAAATAAATATGTTATGAAGCACCATAAGTGCAGATACATTGTTAATGTTGTTGGGACTTAAAGGATATCCTGAATTTTCGTTGAAGTCTGGCTGTTTTCTAAATATTTTATAACGAGACAAATATTTGAGGGAAGAATTGATTATTTCTGTCCTTTTAATTAAGAGATACTTTTTGGATTTTTATATTTTCCCTCTGAGCTGTCATCAGATATTCCTTTATAGCAATTGCAGTTTAAAGTATTTTCTTTGGCTTTGATAATTTCACACTAAAAGGTTATATTTGTCAATCATGATTATTTATGAGTTATAATAAAATGACATTCTCTATGAATTTTTTAAGGTAGAGATTTTCTTTCTCAGATAGGAAAGCAAAGTGCTGTTGGTAAGTAAAAATATGTAAGTAAATAAAACCTTTAAACATTAATACAGTTAACAATTATTTTAAACAGTGTTACAAATCATTTATCTTAGTGATAGGTTATATCAGAATTTAACCAAATACTGAGTAATCGGAATTTGACCTGGGAAATCACTTGTGGTTCAAAAAACATATATACCTATATGAGGAAATGACACTTACCTTAACTGGGAAAAAAGCTTTATTTTATCTACTTAAAGAAAATTTTGACTGGAGAAATTTAATTCTTTTTAAGATTAATTTAGGTGTTTTAATTTTATTTGAAAGACAGAGGTTGATTGACTGATTGATGTTCCATTTGCTGGTTCACTTTCCAAATACCTACAAATGCCAGGACTGGACCAGGCCAAAGCCAAGAGCCCAGAACTCAGTCTAATCTCACACAGGTGGCAGAGACCCAGGTACTTGAAACATCATCTGCTGCCTTCCAGGGTGTGCATTAGCAGGAAGCTGGATCAGAAGTGAAAGATCCTGGAGTTGAACCACACACTTCTATAGGGAATGCGGGCACGCCAAGCAGCATCTTAACTGCTATTCCAAATCCTCACTTCTAGCGGGTTTAACTCTGTAGGCCTTTATAGTGTATACTTTCTAGAATCATGTCATAAAAAGTGGCCTTAACACTAATGTAAGTCAAACCTCTATTTCCTATGTGAATAATTTGATTCTTTTTTCCCTCCCGCATCTCCATAGAAAGATCATATAAAGGGATACAGATAATTTAAAATAGAGTTACTCTATGGTCAAATACAATTTTTTCGTTGATTTGCTTGGTCGTATTGCAGGTAGACAGGTTTCTAAATAGTAGTCTAGAGAGCACCTGGAGGGGATCCTGAGCACACAGTGAACATTATCCATCAGTCATAGTAGCTTTCACTGCCATCTGGGCAGAGCCTTACAAGCCTGGCCTGTGGCCCACATGGTTGGATCTGACAGACCTGCCAGCTAACGCCTGAGTGCCCTCCTCACCCTGGGTTTGTGTTTTATCTGTGCCCTGGCAGTCACTGCACTCCAGCTCTGAGTGAGTGGGGTCATTATCTAAATTTAGTGTCAGCCCCAAACACTGCCATGAGACTACAGGTACAGAGACTGCCATAATAGGAGAGCAAAATTCCTCACTCCTGTGCTTGTGTTTTTTACATTTTTATTGAAAAATACATTACAGCAAAACACAAATTGTGTGTGCAACTCATTGAATTTTCTTTTTTTTTAAAATAAAGATTTATTTTATTTATTTGAAAGAGTTACAGAGAGAGACAGAGATGGGTGGGGAGGTTTCCATCCACTAGTTCACTCCCCAAATGGCCGCAGTGGCCAGAGCTGAGCCAGTCTGAAGCCAGGAGCTTCTTCTGGGTCTCCCATGTGGGTGTAGGAAACAAAGGACTTGAGCCATCCTCAGTTGCTTTCCCAGGTACATTAGCCAGGAGCTGGATCAGAAGTGGAGCAGCTGGGACTCAAATTAGCACCCATGTAGGTTGCTGGTGCTGCAGGCCAGGGCTTTAACCCGCTGTGCCACAGTGTGGGGCCACAACTCATTGAATTTTCACAAATTAAACATTTCTTTGTAACCAGTTCTCAGGTCAAGAAACAACATTACCAGTACTCCAGAATCTCCTCAGGCTTTCTTCAGGTCTCACCCTTTCCCAGGTCGCCCTAGCCTGACTTGCCACAGGTATTTTATTCTGTGTAAAGGAAGGCACAGATCTCCAGGCTCTTGAGAATCTGGAATCTATCGATCACTGCACTCAAGGTTCTTCAAAAAGCCCATGGAAAATACATATTATGAAAAAACTATGCATGATTTTTTTTAAGATTTATTTTATTTGAAATACAGAGTTACAGAGAGAGGTAGAGACACAGAAAGAGGTCTTCCATCTGCTGGTTGGCCACAACAGCCGGAGCTGCGCAAATCCAAATCTGAAGCCAGGAGCTTCTTCCGGGTCCCCTACATGAGTGCAGGAGCCCAAGGACTTGGGCCATCTTCTGCTGCTTTCCCAGGCCATAGAAGAGAACTGGATAGGAAGAGGAGCAGCCGGGACTAGTACTGGCACCCATATGGGATGCCAGCACTTTAGGCCAGGGCTTTAACTGGCTGCGCCACAGTGCCAGCCCCATAAATAAATCTTTTTTTTTTTTTTTTTTTTTTGACAGGCAGAGTGGACAGTGAGAGAGAGAGACAGAGAGAAAGGTCTTCCTTTTTGCCGTTGGTTCACCCTCCAATGGCCACCGCGGCCGGCGCGCTGCAGCTGGCGCATCGCGCTGATCTGAAGCCAGGAGCCAGTTGCTTTTCCTGGTCTCCCATGCAGGTGCAGGGCCCAAGCACTTGGGCCATCCTCCACTGCACTCCTGGGCCATAGCAGAGCTGGCCTGGAAGAGGGGCAACCAGGACAGAATCCGGCGCCCCAACCGGGACTAGAACCCGGTGTGCCAGCGCCGCAAGGTGGAGGATTAGCCTAGTGAGCCATGGCGCCCGCCCCCATAAATAAATCTTAAAAAAAAAAAAAAAGAAGAAGAAGCATGGTGTACTATCCTCCAGATTTTGGAAGAGGGTGAACCTCTTTATTTTTCCACATAATAGATGTCATGTCAAGCTTGTATATAGAGTTTGTTGGGTTTTCCTCTTAGCTATGGGTTGTCTCATTTTTCTTATAGTAACCTTCAGCCCTCCGACCCATGCATATCCGTGCTGTTTCATACCTGTCTCTTAATGTTTTATGTGTAGACTGTCAAATGTTGTAATTAATTGAATTTTAATATATGTGTTAAAATATATTCTTAGTTTTTTACTTAAGAATTACGTTGATTTTTTACTAAAAAAACTTAAGTTGATAGAATAGATTAATAATTCAAGACAGTTAACAGTTAAGTATTTTATTTTCAGTGTTAGACATCAATGTAACAGAAACTCAAGTTTGTCTAAGTATAGAAGCTTATACAGTTAGACTGCCACCACCTGAGGTACCAAATATTTTGTTTTTCATGATTTATTGTATTTCATTATACTGAATATGTTTATTATGATTATTAACATGTATTAGGTTTTAACTTTTAATAGCAAGGAAAGTTTTATTATCAAAAATCCATACTATTTTGTTTACTATTTTACATATTATATTGTTCTACATATTCCTCCCCAAAGGAAATATAATTCTATTTATTTATTTGAGAGGGGGTGGGGCGGGGAGGAAGGAGGAAAGGCGAAAGAGAGACAGAGAGAGCTCCTGTCCTGTGGTTCATTCTCCAAATGCCTGCAATGGCTGCATCTGGGCCAGACTGAAGCTAAAAGCTAGGAAGCCAGTCTAGGTCTCCTGCCTTTTGAGCTGTCACTTCCTGCCACTTGGGGTGCCTTAGCAGGAAGACAGAATCAGGAGCAGAGGTGGGGCTCAGGCCTAGGTACTTGGCTGCAGAATGTGCTCATTCTAACTGTCGTCTTAACTGTTAGGCAGTCTTTCTGTGTAACACAAGTCTTATCATATTATCCCCTTGTTCAGACATCTTTTTAGGTGGCATCTAAGATTCCCCCCAGCCTTAGCCTATTTCAGCACTGGCTTCTGGCTGCTTCTTTCACCTTTAACTATTAAAAGCACTGCTTCGTCTTCTTAGTAGATGTCTTTTATTTTGCAGATTTCCAAAGCACCTAGCATCAAGTCTTACATATTAGTGTCATTCAATAAATGCTATTTTCTATCTTGCAGGCCAGAGGTTCTCAACAGGGGGCCAGCAGAGGGGGAAATGGATGATTTTGTTCCCCGTGAGAAATTTGGCAATGTCGAGAGACTATTTTGATGATTATAGTTGGGGAGGGAATGAAGTTGCTACTGGTGTCTAGAAGGTAGAGGCCAGGGATGCTGCTAAGTGTATTTCCGTGCCCTGGACAGCAACTCCACCCCTACTCCGACAGAGAATTACCAGCCCAAATTATCCCTCCCTTTGCTTGTGCCTCCTCTGATTGGCTGTACAGGTCTTGGCTGTCCTCCATTCATTTGTTTCTCTCTTTTTTTTATTATTATGCTGAGGCAATGAATAAGTCAAAGATCTACTTTCCTGCCTGCATGGATATGTAGAGATCTAAGTAAATACATGCAGCTAAGTAACTACATGGGTAACATGATGTGTATTTCTTGGACTGGAGAGAAACCTGCAAATCCTGTGTGATCACCTACTCTCATTAAACCCTTGTGTTAATCTGTACATACTCATACTTACTTATCTTTTTAGAATTATTTTTACAACACAAATTTCTTTAGAGTAAGCATCATGAGGACAAATATTGCACCTTACATTTGAATTTTCTACACAATACTTCTGCGTTCTAAGCCTGAATTTGAACCAATTTAGAGTCTGACAAAGAGGAAAAGAATGCTAATAGGATTTATTGTACAAAATGAGACATTCTGAGAGTGAAAGAGACATTAACCTGTTGGAGCACTGGCCTAACACACATGAACTGAGATATATGGTCACAGTATTTATCACCAGGAAGGAAAAACAGATTTTAGAAAAAGTGCCCAGGTTCTAGACCCGGTTGCTCCTCTTCCAGTCCAGCTCTCTGCTGTGGCCTGGGAAGGCAGTGGAGGATGGCCCAGGTCCTCGGGCCCCTGCACCCACATGGGAGACCAGGAAGAAGCACCTGGCTCCTGGCTTCAGATCGGCGCAGTGCTGGCCATAGTGGCCATTTGGGGAGTGAACCAGCGGAAGGCAGACCTTTCTCTCTCTCTCTCTCTCTCTCTCTCTCTTTCTCTCTCTCTTTCTGTAACTCTGCCTGTCAAATAAATAAACAATCTTAAAAAAAAAAAAAAAAGACAAAGTGCCTTATCTGGATCCTAGAATTAGGCAGATTTACCCCCACTTTCTTAAGGCAGTAGTAGAAAATTCCAGACCTCTCTTGGGAATTCAGGTGTCGGGAGGATCATAAGAAATACAGACTCCTGCTCTGCCAGTAGGCCTGTTCCCAAGAGGAAAAGGAAGGAGTTGAGCCAACTCTGACTTGTTATTCATCCCAGTTTTACCAGTCGGTTAAGTTATCTGATCTGCCCTAGGGAAGGAAGAATGAATGGTGGGGCAAACCAACCAACCCCCAGGATATGTGTTAATTAGCTTTCTCAACATCCAGAAAGCTGGATAGGAAGTAGAGCAGCTGGTACTTGAACCAGCACCCATATGGGATGCAGGCACTGCAGGCGGTGGCCTTACCTGCTACACCACAGTGCTGCCCCTCAGTTCTGCACTTATTAGCATGTTATTTAATTTCTTTGGATGTGTTATTTAATATTACTGACTCTTGTTTCTTAGAAATTCAAGATAATGATATCTACCTCATGGGACTATAAATACATTAATGGGATAAAATACATTAAATGTTTAGTATGGCATCTGGCACATAGTAGAGATTCAAAAATTATAGATACTGCTGCTATAAGTAAGTAAATTGAAACAAAGAGGTTAAAAATTGCTGATCTAAGTAAAAGTTTCAAGACTTAGAGTTTGTCCTTCAACTCTGTTCTTTCTACTACAGCATGCTTCTTTCACCTAGCCCTAAGTTGGTTCAAATTTATGTTTCCCATAGAGCCTTACAGAAGTATATACCTAGACACCACGAATGAAAATACAACAGTGCTTGTCAGTGCAGTGTCCAAATAAGTGTTATGTAGAAACTATAGTGCTTTAGGAATTCAGAGACAGAGATATCTGAGGGAATTCAAATTTGAAATCTTTGGAACACTACTTTCCACCTTTTCATCCTTTAAAAAAAAAAAAAAACATTTATTTATTTGAGAGGTAGAGATAGAGACAGACAGATGGAGAGACAGAGAAAAAGGCCTTCCATCCACCACCGTTTCATTTCCCAGATGGCCACAAGGCCTGAGCTGGGCCAATCTGAAGCCAGGAGTCAGGTGCTTCTTCGAGGTCCACTGCTTTCCCAGGACAGAGCAGAGAGCTGGAACAGAAAAACAGCAGCGAAGACATGAACAGAGGCAGAGGCTTAGCCTACTATACCACAGCTCCAGCCCCACCTTTTCATTCTTGAAATCAGCTTCCTTCTTGATTTCTCATTTGCCATATTCTCCTAATGTTTGTTCAAGTTTCTTTTTCTCTTATCAGTTTAGAAGTTGCTATTTCCTACAGTTCCATTTTCAGCCCCCTTTTCTTAGCAAGCTCCCATTCCAATAACTTCAGCCTCTACATCAATACCTCCCAAATATTCTTACATATTTGTAGCTTCTATCCCCTCTCAGAAGCTTTCACATGAAGGTACAAATGTACTAGTGGCACTCAGACTCAGGTCTAAAACTGAACGAAGTCGTCACCCTCCTCAACTCCAGTTCTATTCCTCGTTTGTATTTACTCACCTGGGCATTGGCATCAACAGGCAATACTTTGCCTACAGATTTCATTCATCTTTGCCCTTTTCTTCACCTCCTCTATCCAGTGAGTCTCTAGGAGCCTACACTGCTCTCTGAAATTAGCTCCTCTCTGCCTCAATTTCCTTTGTTCTAATTTAGATCCCGTTCTTTTGCCTAGACTGTTCAACTTGTCTCCATACAGGCCTTCTTTTTTCTAGCCTTTCCCTTTCTAGTTTATTATCTCATTCTTCCTCACAGTTTCAAAAGAGTTCTGTTCATAAAACAAAGGTTCCTGACCTAAATATCCTTAGTATCTCAGTATTGCCTATGGAGAACTAAGTCTAAATTATTTAGCGTTATAAGCAAGAAGTAATATTTATTAAGCAACTGCTGAACAGTATTATTTTGGTCATATCAAGACATTTATAAATATTTGTTAAGTAAATAAATACCAGGGTGTATGGTGAACAGTTGGATAACTTGCCAGTCTGTAAAACAATCTGTGCTGAGAAAGACCAGTATAGGCTATAGGTACTGGTACCACATCTTTGCTTCAATTGTCTTGAGTTTATGAGTAGTATAGTAAACACCCCAAAGGATAGAAATTCAAGTGATGTAAATATATGTGAGAATCTATAAATTACGTTTGAACCTGATACCTACCTCCTTTGAGTTCTGTTGTAGGTTCTGTTTCCCTCAGTCTGATCATCCACTTGCTTCTATTTCTTTTCTGATATTCATAACCATCCCTGCCCCAGCCACATTTCCCTCACACAGTTAAGGCCAGCTGAGCTCTTCAGTGTAATATATCATAGTGAAAGATGTACCTTTTATGCACAGGACATTGTGCGTCTTTATTCTATCTGAGTATTCTTGCCCCCTTAACTCACGATATAATCAGCATATTTTGTCTTCCTCTTCCTATATTCATGTTTTTCTTCTCTTGTTCCCCTATTTACATTAGTCTTAAGAAATACTACCAGAATATAAAGAAAGATTAATCACTGGATGCAGAAGGGAAAGGTCTAGATCCAGGCCTGTAAGGAGCAGTCAGGTCAATGGGGACAATGTTAAGTGTGTTACTAAAATGTTACTGACTTGTCCAGGCAACTAAGAATTGGCCAGGTTAGCTGGAATTCCTTGAAAAGTAATAGGCAGTGAAGTTAGAACATTATTTCTCAATAGATGTTACGATGATAGGTTAAAAAGAAAGTGAAGGATTGTGAGCCATTCTCTCTAATCTTTATAAGGGTCCTTTAACATTAATACTTTTTTTTTCACCTCACTTGAGGTCTCTCTGTCTTTGACTAACTATAACAAAATGCCTCCCAGGAAATCAGAAGTAGAGAACTCTTACTGGCTACATAGAAGCTTAAAGGCCCTGTAGGTAGGGGACCCAAGGTACAAGGAAAAAATTCTAGGAAGTAGGAAGGGAATGTAAAAGGAGAATGGAACATCAATTCTGTTCTCTCCCCTCCAAAGACCATCCTTCTCTTTGGGGAAAAAAAAGTAAACAAATTGAGTTAAGAAGTTATTCTTATAAAATGTAGATCCCTTCCTTTGGGAAGGATTCTACTTACTGTAAATTAACAAGCAATAAAAACAAACAGTTGAAATAAGTATAAAATAAGAGTTTTCATCAGAAGGATAAAAGGGAGGGTGTAGAATACTTCTGATACTGTATAGTAGAGAAATGGGGGGCACTGAAACACTGATTACTTTATGAGATGTGGTTGTGCATGGTTCAGTGTAATTTAGTCTTTAAAACTACCTTATAACCAACTGTGTTGTATTTGTGTAACAGATATGTATTTTTAAAAATATTTTTTCTTCCTTGCCAAATTCTTTGAGGAGTAATACATTAAAATTTTATTTCTGTTAAAAGCTAGAAGAGTTTAATATTTCTCAGAGTATTATAAAAGACTTTCTTACTAACAAGAATGCTGTCATTGCAAGTCATTCCATCTTAAGCAGCTGGTGCTACATTTTGCCAAGGTGAGATTTAAATTTATAGTATCTACAGTGGGCTCAAAATGTTTCCTCTTATTTTTCTCCTGAGCACTGTTATGAGAAGTATAAACCATTTAGTGAATTTTAAAAACTGAATTATAATTTTAAAAATACATTGCAACAATATTGTCATACTTACACAAGGCATGAATTTATCAAGTCACTAAAGGAATTATATACTTAAATTTCTTTTTAGATCTAGTTTCAAAAACCAGTAAAATTTCTAGACTTATCATTACAAAATGATAACTATCACAATAATATTAATAAAACCTTATAAATGTATAACTAATGATTCATAATAATTTGATGTGAGCTGAGTTTTTAAAAATTACTTTCTTTGAAAGGCAGAGTTAGGGAGAGACAGAAAGATCCTCCATCCACTGGTTCACTCCCCAAATAGCCACAATGAACAGAAGTCTGGAACTCCATCCAGGTCTCCTATGTGGGTAGCAGAGGCACAAAGTCTAGGGCCATCTTCTGCTACTTTCCCAGGCACATTATCAGAGAGCTAGATCAGAAGAGGAGCAACCTGGGCCCATATGGGATACTGGAATCACAGGCAGTGGCCCAACCCACTATACCACAACACTGGCCCCCTGAACTAGGTTTTAAGTTTGTATTATCTTCAGGAGAAAAATGATTTGTTAATAAACAGCACTATGGAGATGAAATTGTACCTTTCCTAAGAAATAGAACTTTAATAGCATTCACATAAAAATTTGGTTAGTAAGGAAGAGGTAGATAAGGAAGATACTTGTAGGTTTGACTGATTTATTCAACTCTCAATTGACTTTTCCCTAAAATCTACCAATTACTAGGCATACCTTTGTTTGGCAACATTTTATTACCATTGTTTTGTGCTTATAACTGACAGTTGCTTGCACCCATTCAGCTCAATTTTTGTAACAATTCCAGTTAAGATTTAATACAAATAAAGATGATATGTGACATGCACAATACTATCATCATACTCAGTGGTAAAAAGTTGAAAGCTTTCCTTATCAGATCAGAAAAAAGACAAGAATGCCCACACTCACTACTTCTATTCAGTATAGTGCTGGAAGTCCTAGTCAAAACAATTAGCAAGAAAATAAAAGGCATCTAGATTGGAAAGGAAGAAATGAAATTGACCCTTTTGACCTCCAATAGCTAAAGCAATTTTATACAACAAAAAACAAAGCCAGAGCCATCACAATACCAGATTTCAAGAGATACCAAATGTCACTCCCCCTCTTCGTGGAGGAACGGCACTAAACCCTGCCTAGGTTTCCTATCTGAGTCACGGCACCATTATGTCGCTCCCCCTCTTCATGGAGGAACGACACAGGACCCTGCGCTGTTCTTTTGTCTGCTCGGCCCTCCCCGGGTTTGCTGCTGGTTCTTCCCGGGTTGGCTACCGACCCTTCCACCTCCATGGAAGGGCAGTTCTCCCTGCCACTTTCCCCACTTCCGCGGGGGAGTGGCACACCGCCGGCCGGCCCTCTCGGGGGCTGCACAGGTGTTCCTTCAGATAGATGTTCCTGGTGCATGTTGTCTCTCTCCTCCTCTATAGTCCTCTTCCACCAATCCCAACTCTGCTACCCACACACCGAGTACGCTGCTCTCCTCCAATCAGGAGCAGGTCCTACAGTTTATTGGTTGAACTCGGGGCAGCTGTGTAGAAGCTGTTTCCTCCTCTCCCAGCGCCATATTGTGGGAGAGCAGATGCATAGAATAAGTCTGAGTTGCTCCCCACACCAAAAGGGCCGAGCCATGGCTCAATAGGCTAATCCTCCACCTTGCAGCGCCGGCACACCAGGTTCTAGTCCCGGTCGGGCGCCGGATTCTGTCCTGGTTGCCCCTCTTCCAGGCCAGCTCTCTGCTATGGCCCGGGAGTGCAGTGGAGGATGGCCCAAGTGCTTGGGCCCTGCACCCACATGGGAGACCAGGAAAAAGCACCTGGCTCCTGGCTTCGGATCAGCACGATGTGCTGGCCACAGCGCACCAGCCACGGTGGCCATTGGAGGGTGAACCAATAGCAAAAGGAAGACCTTTCTCTCTGTCTATCTCTCTCTCACTGTCCACTCTGCCTGTCAAAAAAAAAAAAAAGGCATACTACAAGGCAGTTATAAACAAAACAGCCTGGTACTGGTACAAAAAACAAATGGACAGACCAATGGAACACAATAGAATCACTAGAAATCAATCCAAGCATCAACAACCAACTTACATTTGACAAAGGAGCTAAAACCAAGCCCTGGAGCAGGGGCAGTCTTTTCAACAAATGGTGTTGGGAAAACTGGATTTCTGCATGCAGAAGTATGAAGCAAGACCCCTACCTTACACCTTACACAATAATCCACTCAAAATGGATTAAAGATCTAAAACTATGACACAACACCATCAAATTATTAGAGAACATTGGGGAAACCCTGCAAGACATTGGCATAGGCAAAGAGTTCTTGGAAAAGACCCCAGAGGCACAGTCAAAGCCAAAATTAACAAATGGGATTGCATCAAATTGAGAAGTTTCTGTACTGTAAAAGAAACACTCAGGAAAATGAACAGGCAACCGATAGAATGGGAGAAATTATTTGCAAACTAAAGGATTAATAACCAGAATATATAAAGATATCAAGAAACTCCACAACAATAAAACAACACAATTAAGAGATGGGCAAAGGACTTAAACATATTTTTCAAAGGAGAAAATCCAAATGGCCAACAGACACATGAAAAAAGGTTCAGGATCACTAGCTGTCAGGGAAATGCAAATCAAAACCACAATGAGGTTTCACCTCACCCCAGTTAGAATGGCTTTCATACAGAAATCAACAACAAATGCTGGTGAGGATGTCCGAAAACAGTACCCTAATCCACTGTTGGTGGGATTGTAGACTGGTAAAGCCAGGATGGAGGTACCTCAGAAACCTGAATATAGACCTGCCATATCACCCAGCCATCCCACTCCTGGGAATTTACTCAAGGGAAATTAAATCAGTAAATGGAAGAGTTATCTGCATCTCCATGTTTATTGCAGTTCAGTTCACAATAGCTAAAACATGGAACCAACCTAAATGCCCATAAACCAAAGACTGCATAAAGAAATTATGAGATATGTACACTATGGAATACTACACAGAAGTAAAAAAAAAATGAAATCTGGTCATTTGCAACAAAATGGATGAATATGGAAAACATCATACTTAAATAAGCCAGTCCCAAAGAGACAAATACCATATATTCTTCCTGATTTGCAAGCATGCATAGAGCACCTAAAACAAAATCTGCAGAAGTGAAATTGACACTTCAAGAAAGGATGACTTGAGCTGCCCTTGTCTTGAATGTCAAGGAACAGTTTTGTTTTTTGTTTTTTTCTCTTCACACTATATGTTGAACTCTTAACATAGAGTTAATCATATGTATAAAGTCAATTGAGGGCCAGCGCCGCGGCTCACTAGGCTCATCCTCCGCCTAGCGGCGCCGGCACACTGGGTTCTAGTCCTGGTCGGGGCGCCGGATTCTGTCCCAGTTGCCCCTCTTCCAGGCCAGCCCTCTGCTGTGGCCAGGGAGTGCAGTGGAGGATGGCCCAGGTGCTTGGGCCCTGCACCCCATGGCGAGACCAGGAAAAGCACCTGGCTCCTGGCTCCTGCCATTGGATCAGCGCGGTGTGCCGGCCGCAGCGCGCTGGCCACAGCGGCCATTGGAGGGTGAACCAACGGCAAAGGAAGACCTTTCTGTCTGTCTCTCCCTCTCACTGTCCACTCTGCCTGTCAAAAAAAAAAAAAGTCAATTGAGGATGGATCTTAGTAAGAAATAAGAGTATTAGCAGACACTAGTCTTGTTTATGTGATCCCTTTACTCTTAATCCTATCATTGTGATCAATTATGAACTGAAACTGATCACTTTGACTAGTGAGATGGCACTGGTACATGCCACCTGGATGGGACTGAATTGGAATCCCCTGGCACTTTTCTAACTCTACCATTTGGGGCAATTCCGATTGAGCATGTGCCAAACTGTACATCTCCTCCCTTTCTTATTCCCACTCTTATATTTGACAGGGATCACTTTTCATGGGAAGCAGAATATATAGCAGACTCATAGAATGGCAGATGTCCTAAACAGCACTCTGGCCTCAGAATCAGCCCTTAAGGCATTCAGATCTGGCTAAAAAGCCCATGAGAGTATTTCAGGCATGGAAAGCCAAGACACTGTGGGGAAAAAAAAAAAAACAGCAAAACCCTAAATGAAAGATCTCTGTGTGTGAGATCCCAGTGGAAAGAATGGGCCATCAAAGAAGGAGGTACCTTTCTCTGAAGGGAGGAGAGAACTTCCACTTTGACTATGACCTTGTCTAAATAAATCAGAGTTGGCAAACTCAAAAGGCTTCCATAGCCTTGGCAACTCATGACAAGAGCCAAGGGTGATTACTGATGCCATAAGCAAGAGTGTCAATTTGTTAAGTCAACAACAGGAGTCACTGTGCACTTACTCCCCATGTAGGATCTCTGTCCTTAATGTGTTGTTCAGTGTGAATTAATGCTATAACTAGTACTGAAACAGTATTTTACACTTTATGTTCTGTGTGGGTGCAAACTGATGAAATCTTTACTTAATATATATTAAAACGATCTTCTGTATATAAAGATAATTGAAAATGAATCTATGTAAATGAAATAGGAGATGGAGCGGGAGATGGAGGGTTGCTGGTGGGAGGGAAGTTATCGGGGGGAAAAGCCATTGTAATCCATAAACTGTACTTTGGAAATTTATATTTACTAAATAAAAGTTAAAAAATAAGAGAATAAAAGACGGAAGAGGAAGTTTGTAAAGCTGTATATTTCTCATACATTCCTAAGGACTAACTTCTAAGGGTTCAGTTTAAAAATTTGTCACGGGACCCCCAAATCCCATTAAGCTGGATGATTAAAATGTCATCTTAAGAGTTAAAGTAATCATATTAAGTGTTAAAGTGAATATATAGATAGGACTAAGTGTTAAAATGACCATATAAATAGGATCAAGTGTGGGGTAGTTATAGTAGATAGAATTAAAAAGGAGAGAATGTTCCAACAAGGGAAGCAGTCCACACAGCAGACTCATAGAATGACAATTGCTTTAAGTAACACTCTGACCTCAGAATCAGCCCTTAAGGCTTCCTGGTCTGGCTGAAAATCCCGTGAGAGCATTTCAGGCATGGAAAGCCAAGACACTGCAGCAAAAAAAATATTCTATATGAAGGATCTCTGTGAGTGAGATCCCAGTGGAAAGAAGTGGCCATCAAAGAAAGATGTACTTTTCTCTAAAGGGAGGAGAGAACTTCCACTTTGCTAGTGGCCTTTTCCTAAATCCTATCGAATTGGTAGATTCAAAATGCTTCCATAGCATAGGCAGGGCATGTCAAGAGCCTCAGGTGGTCACTGACATACATAATAGTGTTAATTGTTAAGTTAACAAAAGGAGTCATTGTGCACTAACTCCCCATGCAGGAGTTCTGTCCTCAGTGAGTTGTATTATGAGAGTTTAATGTGGTACTTGTTCTCAGTTTTGTGTGTGTGTGCAAATTGTTGAAATCTTTACTTAGTATAGAGTTGGTCATCTGTGAACAAAGTTAATTGAAAATGAATCTTAATGGAGAATGGGACTGGGAAGAGGAGAGGGAGGAGGATGAGGGTGGGAGTGTGGGTGGGAGGGTAGGTATGGTGGGAAGAATAACTATATTCCTAAAGTTGTACATATGAAATTTGTATTCCTTAAAAATTAATTAATTTAAAAGAAAAAAGTGTCCCTGGTTACAGGTGACTTTTTGATCTTATATATAGGAAACCCTGAAGACTCCACCAGAAAACTGTTAGAATTAATAAATTCAATAAAGTTGTCCCCAAAGGGTTGCAACAGCCAGAGCTGGGCCAATTTGAAGCCAGGAGCCAGAAGTTCTTCTGGGTCTCCCACACAGGTATAGGGGCCCAAGCATTTGGGCCACCCTCCACTCTTTCCCAGGCCATAGCAGAGAACTAGATTAGAAGAGGAGCAGCCAGGATATGAACCGGTGCCCATATTGGATGCCGGCACTGCAGGCAAAAGTTTAGCATACTATACACAGCACCGGCCCCCACAATGGCTTTTAATAAATGTAACTAAGGAGGTGAAAAACATACACACTGAATACCACAAAACACTGATGAAAGAAATTGAAGTAGATAAAAATTAATGGAACTCTATCCCACTTGTGGATTGGAAGAATTAATATTCTTAAAATGTGCATATTTCCCAAAGCAGTCTACAGATGTAGTGTGACCCCTGCCAAAAATATCAATGACATTCTTAATAGAAAAATAGTCCTCAGTAGCCAAAAGAATCTTGAGCAAAAAGAAGAAAGCTGGAGGTATCACACTCCTGATTTCAAAGTGTATGCTACAAAACTTTCATAATCATAAGAAGAAAGCTGGAGGTATCACACTCCTGATTTCAAAGTGTATGCTACAAAACTTTAATAATCATAACAGTATGGCACTGGCATAAAAAAGACACAGACCAGTGGAACAACATAAAAAGTCCAGAGAAAAATCCATGCATTTATGATCAATTTGTTTTCAACAAAGGTGCCAATAACATGCAATTGGGAAAGGATGGACTGTTCAATATATGATGTGGGTAAAATTGGATATCCATGTACAGAAGAATGAAATTATATCCTTATCTCATGCCATATACAAAAATAGATTCAGGCTATATTAAAGACCTAAAGACCTGAAATTAAAAACTACCAGAAGAAAAGAGCAGAAGCTTCATGACAACGGCCTGGGCAATGTTGTTGAGGTGGTTGTGGTTTTTTTTGACCGTGTCCCAAGAAGCATAAGTAACAAAAGCAAAATGGATAAATGGGACTACGTCAAATTCCAAAACTTCTGAATAGCCAAGAAAACAGTCAACAGAATGAAGAAAAAAACTTAGAAACCTGGAAAAATATATACAAACCAAACATCTGGTCTGGTAAGGGATTTGTCTTAGTCCATTTAATGCTGCTATAACAGAGTATCAGAGATGGGTAATTCGTAAACAACAGGAATTTATTTCATACGTATCTGGAAGCTTGGAAATGTAAAGTCAAGATGCCAGTAGATTTAATGCCTGGTAAAGACTTTCTTGGTGTGTCATCCCATGGTGAGTGGGCAAAGAAAGGAGGAGAGAGGGAGACAAAAGGCAAAAGAGACAAGGAGCTCCTTACAAGGAGCCAGCTCCAGAAACAGACGTTTTAATCCATTTGTGAGAGTAGTGCCTCATGGCCTAATCACCTCTTAAAGGTTCCACCTCCCAGTACTGTTACAATGACAACTAATTTCAGTGTCCATAGTGCTCACCATTACACTATGGAACAGACAATTAATTTCAACATGAGTTTGGGAGGAAAACATTGAAGTGATAGCAGGGTTACTACTACCCAAAATATATAAAGAACTCAAACAACTAAAAAGCAAGAAAAAAATCATGATTTTTAAAATGGGCAAAAGATCTAAATACACATTTCTCCAAAGAAGATATATACATGGCCAATAAGTATATCAAGAAGTGCTTAACATCACTAATCATCAGGTAAATGGAAATTGAAACTTCAATGAGATAGCAGCTCACATCTATTAGAATATCTATTAGCAAAAAGTTGAAAGACAACAAGTGTTGGAGAAAGTGTGGTGAAAATGGAAACCCTTGCATGCTATTGGTTGGAGTATAAATTAGGACAGCCATTATAGACAACAGAATGGAGGTTTCTCCAAAACTTTGAAATGGAATTAGTATATTATTCAGCAATACCACTCCTAGGTGTATATCCAAAGGAACATAAATTTGTATGTCAGAGAGATTACACTCCTATGTTCATTAAAGCATTATTCACCATAGCCAGATAGGAAATCAATCTAAATTCTCCATCCATGATGAACGGGTAGAGAAAATATGGTATGTATACATAATGAAATACTATTCAACCTTGAAAAAAATTGTCATTTGTGACAATGTGGATGGACATGGAAAACATTACGATGATTGAAATAATCTAGGCAAACACCACAATCTCATACGTGGAATCTAAAAAGTTGAACTCATAGAAGCAAAGAATAGAATCGTGGTCACCAAGGGCTGGGGTTAGGGTGGTGGATGGACTGGGGAGATGTTAATCAAAGGATACAAAATCTTGGAATAAATTGAAGTCTATCATACAATGTGGAGACTTAATAACAATGTATTATTTTGTACAACATGGAACTTAATAACAATGTATTATATTATTTCAGTTCACCACGAGTATATTTAAGTGGTCTCACCCCCAAAAAATGATTATGTGAAGTAATACCTGTGAATTAGTTTGATTTTAGCCATTCCCAATGTATACATATTTAGTACCTCATTTCATATATGATAAGTCCATGCAATTTTTGTTTGTCAATTAGAAGATTTAACGTGTATTTGGAAGTAGGAGGAAACCATTTATTTTGTATATAGAGTGAGATGCTGAATTTTTTGAACACTTTATAAATCACGTAGTTTATCAAACTATATTTAAGCATTGGCTTATAATATTTTACCAACTCTGATTTCTCATAGTATGAAAATGGGACAAATAACAAATATTCTTCATACCATCCCCACTGACTGTCCTTTGCACTCATATGAAGATTTACGGATGCACTGGGATGACCTGGTGAGGAACAGAAATATAGATTATGTTAGAAGTCATTTCATTGTGTTTTTCGTAATTTAACCTGTTCAGTTTTTTTGAAGATGACTTAAATTTTGTGCTTAATTTCAGTATGGCTACAGACTTCCAGAAGATTGTGGAAATGTTAAGACATACTGCAGCATCTACTTCAAGATGATTGGAGAAAAGACTTTTACGTATCCTTTACACACCTCTTGCAGCAGATGCTCTCTGCCCACTGCGTGTCTGCTGCTGCTTCCATCCCCAAGTCATCAACATTTCAACGTTCTCTACATGAATGTCCAGGTCAAACTACTTTTCTTTTATTTCTTATCCATGTGCATGTTTTTTGTTTTGCTCAGCGTTTTCCCCAGCTTTTATTTAAAGATGAAGTTAATAAGCATAATTTTTTTCCTTAAACACTATTTCAGCAATTTTGACATCTGGAATAGTAAAATAAATAAATAAATAAATAAATAAAATTTCCTAATATAAAGGAAACAATTATGAGCCAAGAGCTCCCTCCAGTGGCATTTTCAATATCATTGAAAAGAATTGATAAAGATTTTCGTTTTGGAAGTTTGTTTTATTTTACAAAGTTTAGAGGATTGATGTGCTCTTAATGCACCACACTGATTTTAAAAATATTTTTCTCAACAGGATTTTTAAAAATCTACACACAAAAAGAGCTCAAGTGCCCATGTGAAACAAATCTTAGCCCTGATTTTTCCATTCCTCTCTCTTATTCTTGTCTTCCGACCAGCTGGAATTTGAAAGCAGAAGGAAGAGCCATAGTGCTCCCTTTCCATAGTTGCGTTTCTAACCCAAGTATTCACAGCAAAACTGAGGTTGACCTTTAGCAGTCATTCCCTTTCATTAGATGCAGATGTCATTCCAATTCTTCAGAATATTTTTCAGCAGAAAACCTCTCAAAAAACTACTTTTGGAGTTCTCTATACTGAGGTTTTCACTGCTTTTGGAGATACAACTTGTCATTATTTTCTAGAACATTTATTTTTATTATCTCTAAGGGCCATAGTATCTTCCTTATAGATATTTTTTGAATGTATTAATTTGCCAGTGCATTTAGAAAGCTATATATTAAAGACAATGAATTGCCTTGATTGTGAATGTTAAACATCACATTATACTGCACCAACATTTACAATTATTGTTTATCAACTAAAAATAAAATTTAAAAATAGAAGAAGTAAAGATCGCTGTGAGGTACTATAAGGAATACTTTAACTTTGGACAGTATGGGAAAAACAACAAAAATAAGTAGATTTTCCTTACATGTGCCTATTTTAATTTTCTAATTCCATCAAAATTACTATCTCTTAAGTAAGAAGAAAAATTTACATTGTTCTTTAACCAATGTTTAGATACCCTCTCAGTTGCATCAGAAGCCAGCCCATACAGTTCTTTCCAAGGGTAGACCTGGAAACTGTGTTGAAAAGTTTTCTTTCAGATTTGAAATCTAAACTGCCTCATATATGTGGATTTCCCATAAAGATGACAAATAAACCATGCTACTACACACAGGAACTAATTAAACCTCATTTCCAGGTAAGAGACTTTTTGTCCTATCTGGTTCTCCAAGACATACTGTGCACCTATCTGTCTGAGATCTCTTGCCTTCTGTGATGGAGTACTGCACTGTGCAATAACTTTTTCCTCCATTAACTGTTACTACTTATTATTATTATACCTTACATTTGTCACTGACATTTTCATTACTGTAGTATTAGAGTAGTTGTTTACTAAAATGTTACACCCACATCAAGGACATAAATGAGTTGGGTTGTTGGAGACTAAAGGGAGCAAACGTGATGAAGAGTATTTGGAAAGACTGAGCTGTAAGTATGAGCTCACTTAAGCAGAAAGTAGGGTGCATGCCACTCACCAAGGTAAGTAAGTAGGGACTTCTTTGGAATCTGAGGTATGCAGGGGGCAGTGGGCCACTGTCTGGCTCCTTTGTTAAGACATTTTATTTATTTAACAGCTAGAATAATAGACAGTGAGAGAGAAACAAAGATCTTCCTTCCATTGTTTCACCCCCCCAAATGGCCTCTACGGCCGGAACTGTGCCGATCTGAAGCCAGGAGCCAGGTGCTTCCTCCTGGTCTCCCATGCGGGCACAGGGCCCAAGCACCTGGGCCATCCTCCACTGCCTTCCTGGGCCACAGCAGAGAGCTGGACTGGAAGAGGGGCAGCCGAGACTAGAACCAGTGCCTATATGGGATGCCGGCGCCACAGGCAGAGGATTAACCAAGTGAGCCACGGTGCTGGCCCTTTATTAAGAAATTAATGTAACTGGCTGTCTGCTGATGGGATTGGCCCACACCCTAGAGTTCGTCAGAACAAAGGGATGTAGATTTAACTGGAAATATATTCAGAGTTTTGATTTTTACTGATGCTGAAAACTTTGGGGAAAATTTTCTTCTGATTTTGTCCCTCTGCATTTTTCAAATCTTTGCTTATGCAGCACACAGAGTTACATCATGTACAACTTACTGAATAATACTCAAATGCCCATGTAACCATCACCAGGTAAAAAACAGAGCACTGCCACAGCTTTAGGGTCCTCCTGCTTTTATCTTCCTAATCCTAACTGCCCCTCCCCAACAAAGGTAACCACTGTTCTCACTTCTGTGGGCATTACTCCTGGCTTTCTTTGTTTTGATCAATCAAGACTGCACCCTTAAATATCTATTTGAATTTTGCTCACTTTTGAACTTTATGCAAAGGAAACTGCTGTCTTATTTTGCTCAGTGTCATGTTTGTGACATGCTTCTGTGTTGCTCTCCTTAACTATGGTCAGCTCATTTTCATTTCCGTGTATAATAATTGATTACATGATTATGCTGCAGTTTATCGGAATACTACTGGTAAATATTTGAACTGGTGCTGCTTGAGGTGTTAGTACTGCTGCAGTAGACATTCCTCTGTATGCCTCCCAGTGCACTCCAGGACTGGAGTTAGTACAGATTTCCACATCTATATTGTGCCAAACTTTCCAAGTGGCTGGGTCAGTTTGTACTTCCGCTCTCCCCCAAGCAGTGTGGGAGAGTTTATGTTGCTCTACATCCTTGCCCACTGTAAATATTGCCAGCCTTTTATTTCAGCTGATCTTCCAGAATGTCTCATTTGTATTTGTCTTGATTATTAATGAGGTTGAACATCTTTTCAGGTGTATATCAGCCATTTGAATATCTTGTTGTGTCCCTCTGTCACTTTTCCTCTGCTTTTAAAGCTGAGTTAAATGTGTTCTTTGCACATGCCAGGCCCTCTTTATCAGTACTGTCACATCATCTTCCTCCTTTGCATGACGTACTTCCTTACTCTCTTAGTGGTATCTTAACTGGCAATCTTAATACTCAGAGAATCAGGCTTTTCTCTTTACTGATACTTTTTGTGTCCTGTCAAAAATATTTCTCTACCCCAAATGAAGATGTTTTACTACAATATTATCTACTAAAGCTCATTATTTTCCATTCACATTTAGGTCTACAATCTATTGCTTTGTAATATTATGTTGTGCACAATCACATATTTTTGGATGATATGTGCATTTATTTATCCAAGCAATAGTTACCGAAATATGTGTATTTATTTATTTAATATGTGTATTTATTTATCCAAGCAATAGTTATTTTTTTAACTTTTATTTAATGAATATAAATTTCCAAAGTATAAAGGAAACAATTATGAGCCAAGAGCTCCCTCCAGTGGCATTTTCAATATCATTGAAAAGAATTGATAAAGATTTTCGTTTTGGAAGTTTGTTTTATTTTACAAAGTTTAGAGGATTGATGTGCTCTTAATGCACCACACTGATTTTAAAAATATTTTTCTCAACAGGATTTTTAAAAATCTACACACAAAAAGAGCTCAAGTGCCCATGTGAAACAAATCTTAGCCCTGATTTTTCCATTCCTCTCTCTTATTCTTGTCTTCCGACCAGCTGGAATTTGAAAGCAGAAGGAAGAGCCATAGTGCTCCCTTTCCATAGTTGCGTTTCTAACCCAAGTATTCACAGCAAAACTGAGGTTGACCTTTAGCAGTCATTCCCTTTCATTAGATGCAGATGTCATTCCAATTCTTCAGAATATTTTTCAGCAGAAAACCTCTCAAAAAACTACTTTTGGAGTTCTCTATACTGAGGTTTTCACTGCTTTTGGAGATACAACTTGTC